GGACAGGTCTCATCAGAGGAGTCAGACAAAGAGTGTCTCTCCCATAAAAAATATGGTGAGACGTACATTTCAGAATGCCATACCGGCTCGGATGTCGCCTGGGTTAATAAGGTCCGCGCTAGATATTGGAGTTCTTGGATATCTGGTGAAAAATGGGTTACAGGACTCAGGACTGTTGGCTGAGCAACCAGGGCCAGCAGCTGCAGAACTACTGGAAAAAAAGGTGTCTACCCGTCGCAGATACACAGTGATTGAACTAACTGGTGTGGTAGCTGATGCAGTACAACAGCATCTAGTTGAAAACAATCTCTTTCCACCTGAGCAAAAAGGAAACCGCCCCAATAGCAGAGGAACAAAAGATCAACTCCTAATAGACAAAATGATCTTGGAAAACTGCAAGAAAAGGAAGACCAACCTAAATGTGGCATGGATTGACTACAAAAAGGTATTTGACTCTCTGCCACATGACTGGATAATCAAGTGCCTAGAAATAACAGGAGTCAGTAGAAACATCAGAAAATTTGTGCAAAGATCGATGGCACAATGTAAGACACAGTTGCAGATCAATGGTGAGAGACTGGGAGAGGTTAATATCAAGAGAGGAATATTTCATGGATGATCTGAAGCTGTATGGAAAAACATCATCTGAAATAGAATCGCTGCTTAACACTGTCCGTATATATAGCCAAGATATTGTTATGGAGTTTGGCTTAGACAAATGTGCCACACTTACTATCAAACAAGGAAAAGTAGTGAAAACTGAAGGAATCAAGACGCCCCACGAAAATAACATTAAAAAGTCTGGATGAGGAAGATTACTACAAATACTTGGGTATCCTTCAAGCTGACAACATCAAGCACGCTGAAGTCAAGAAAAAGATTAGAGGTGAATACATCAAGAGAGTGAAGAAGATCTTAAAGTCCAAACTCAATGGAGGAAATACCATAAAGGCAATCAACACCTGGGCAATTCCAGTCATTAGGAACACAGCTGGTATAGTGGACTGGACTCAAGCAGAACTAAAAGCAATGGATAGGAAGACCAGAAAAATAATGGCAATGAATCATGCCCTTCATCCACGCAGTGACATTGACAGACTTTATCTACCAAGGCAAATAGGTGGGGGTGGAATGCTACAAGTACATCAGATGGTTGAAGAAGAAAAAATGGCTTTGGAAGAATATCTGAAGAACAATGATGAAGATGCACTGAAATTAGTATATCAGGAAGGCTTACTGACTACTGAGAGACCAAACTGGCCTACAAGAAAGACCAAATGAAGAACAGAATAGAGGCATGGGAAGACAAAGCTCTACATGGCCAATACATTAAAAAAAATAGCTGGGAAAGCAGATAATAACAAGACCTGGCAATGGCTAAGAGCAGGAAAATTGAAGAAAGAGACCGAGGGACTAATTCTGGCTCCACAAGACCAAGCCTTAAGGACAAATGCATATAAAGTCAAAATTGAGGAGACAGCAACAGACAGTTAAGTGCCGCCTGTTCAAAGAAGCTGAAGAAACAGTGGACCACCTGGTAAGCTGTTGCAAGAAGATTGCACAGACTGACTAGAGGCAGCGGCATGACAAAGTAGCAACAATGGTGCATTGGAAGATCTGCAAAAAATATCATTTGCCTGTAAGCAAAAACTGGTGGGATCATAAAATAGAGAAAGTCATAGAAAATGATAAAATTAAACTGCTCTGGGACTTCAGAATTCAAACAGACAAGCAACATAACACCCGGACTTAACAATTGTCGATAAGAAAGACAAAAAAGTCTGGATAGTGCACGTGGCAGTGCCTGGAGACAGCAGAATAGATGAGAAAGAACTGGAGAAGATAACAAAATTCAAAGACCTACAAATAGAAATAGAAAGACTGTGGCAAAAGCAAGCAAGGGTAGTACCAATAGTAATAGGCTCCTTGGGTGCAATCCCAAAACAACTGGAGCACCACTTGAACACCATTGGCATTGACAAATTCGCTATTAGTCAATTGCAAAAGGCAGCCTTACTAGGAACTGCTTCCATCCTGCGATGATATCTGTAATACCATCAAACATCACATCTGCCTATCCCAGGTCCTGGGTAAGGACTCGATAGGTAGACAAAATGCCAAATCCAGTCTGAACATCTGGCTGACTGTGCGATGATCCATAATAATAAAGTTTGAAGGGACCTTGGAGGTCATCAAGTCCAACCCCCTGCTCAGGCAGGTAACCCTATACCATTTCGGACAAAAGGGCCGTCCAGTTTCTTCTTAAAAACTTCCAGTGTTGGAGCATTCACTGCTTCTGGAGGCAGGTTGTATGTATACTTCATACATATCTTATCTGATTAGCAAAACAGTTCATCAATTTCTGTTTGGTTGGGTAAGTGTAGTATACACTGTTGGCAATGACATTTTTTGCATTATTTTGCATCATCATTATTTTGTTGCATTTCTATAGTGCTATAGTAATTATATAGAAAGCAACTCCATCTCCTCTTTTATTAGGTCTGTGTCTTTTAAACCAGGGCTTTCAACCAATGGTACGGATACCACCTGTGGTACATTGGCACTTGGCAGGTGGTATGCGACCATCCTAGAAAAGTGGTAGCAGGGGAGGGGAATGAGCTGAACCAGTGGCAGCACCACACAAGCCTGAGTGAGAGATGGCTAGAGCTGCAGGGCTGTCAGGGCTCAGCGGAAGTGCCAGAATCAGCGCCAAGCTCCAGCTGGAGCTTGACGCTGATCCTGGAGTTTCTGCTGAGCCTAGAAGAAGCGCCAATCAGCTGGAATGTTGCAGCATCTCCAAGGTCTTGTGATTTACATTCAGATGCTTGGCAATTGATTCATATTTATGACGGTCAGTGTTCCAGGGTCATGTGAAGTGACCAAAACCTGCTGCAACCACCCAGCAGACGGGGTAGGGAATAAAAACCAAACACTCCCCAGCCCACCCCACTCCTGCTGCCAATCCTCAACAAAAATGCTCACAACAATGAAAACCTCAGACAGGAGGAAGAGCGTCTCTGGGCGGGCAGGCAGGTGTTTTGCTGTGGCTTGGGGGGCACTTTTTTCACTGCCATTGTAACTCTGAACAGTCATTAAGCAAACTGTTGTAAATCGAGGACTACCTGTACTTTATCACTTTTTTCCTTTTTTTTTTTTTTTTTTTTGGTCATCAAGTTTTTGACATCTTGCTAGGTGACCGGTGGTACTTGGATGTTGCCATATCCTAAAAGTGGTACAATGGGTGAAAAGGTTGAAAAGCCCTGTTTAAAACAATGTAAATCCCTCAAGCTTTCTGTTCTGGTCACTGGTTTCATCCCACCAAGTTTCAGCAATAGCAGCAATATCGTATCTGCTCCCACGTAGAAGACTTCAAGTTCACCCTGTTTCTTCCTTACACTTTGAGTGTTAGCATATAGGCATCTGAGTCATTTTTGACTGACCCTCTGATTTCTACGTTTCCTGTTTTTTTTTTCTTACCATTTGATTGATTGGCCCAAGATTTGTGCTTAGAATTACTTTCTAAAAATTATTCTCCCTCTTTCTATAGTTTTAGTTTAAAGCCCTGTGGATGAGACAAGCCAATTGGTTTCTAAAGTCTTTCCTGATTCTTTTGAGGTGTAGCCCATCCCCCACCAAAAGCCCCCCATACAGGTATTATAGACCACGGTCTAAGTATCCAGAGTTCTCTTGATGGAACCATCTCCTAAGCCAGATAGGGCTTGACTTACAACAGTTTATTTAGTGACTGTTCAAAGTTACAACAAAACTAAAAAAGTGACTTGTAATCATTTTTCACACTTACGACTGTTGCAGTATCCCTATGGGCATGTAATTAAAATTTGGATTCTTAGCAACTGGCTCATATTTATGACAGTTGCAGTGTCCTGGGGTCATATGATCACCTTTTGTGACTTTCTGACAAGCAAAGTTAATGGGGAAGCCAGATCCAATTATCAACCATATTACTAACTTAACTATATAGATTCACTTAACTGTGGCAAGAAATATTGTAAAATGGGACAAAACTCACCTAACAACTGTCTTCCTTAGTAACAGAAATTTTGGGTTGTAAGTTGAAGACTACAAAGTTGTGGATTATGTTTTTACAATCAGTGCTCATTCAATCCCTTGCACATAATCCACAGACCCTACGACAGAAATGGAAGAAAGAAAAATATTTTACCTGATAGAAAAAGACATCCTTGCGGTCAGTGCCTTCAGTGGCAAATTCCTCTACAATACCTTCAGGGCTAATACCATGTTCAGCACAGAGCTGTTTCCAAAATTCAAATCCAACTGTAAAAACAGAAAGCACAAAAATAGGCATTTTTCTTGTCCCCTACCAGAGAGAGAGAGAAATGGTCTCAAGAGGCAATGGAGAGATATGGGTTTTGTTAAGAATTCCACATCACAGGAGTCTAATATAACAGCCGGAGCAAACAGCCGGGGCAAAACATAATTTAATGTTCTATTTTAAAAAAAAAACATTGCACAGCATAAACAGCAACTCTTTCTTCTCCTTCGAAGGACAACTCCCTTCTTTTCAAACACTTCTATCCACAACCCAAATTCTGATTCTATTGCTTCTGGCGCGCGCGCACTCACTCACTCACACACACACACACACACACACAAAATATACATGCACGGGTTTCATAAGCCTTTTCTCTTGGCCTTACTTTGGTTGCCACACTGCCCCAGCTGCAGAGTAATAATCTCCCGAGGCATAGTGAGCGTTGATTAAAGTCTGAATCCTCTTCTTCCGGAGTTAACACCGATCCTTCCTAGAGTTGTTCTTGCTTTCCTAAAAATATGCCGTTGCTAATCGCACCGTTCGTCTTTGCCTCTTCACGCCGCTTCTTCACCTATCTGCTACCTTTATTTTGGCAACACGCATGCGTTGAAGCAAATAAAACAAAAGCATGGGGCGCGTATGTGCACTTTCAAGTTTTCCGTACAACAAGATGGTACTTCTAATACTGTCACTTCCTGTGATTTAGATGAGCACGTGAACGGCCATGGGAGTGTGCGTAAACTGGTGGGGTAGAGGCCGCGTTCGATCTATTGAGGTGGCGACAGCAACCGTTGGTGACGAAGAATGGTAATCCTATCCTTTATTCCACCGGTCTCTCAGTGATGTTGGCCGAAGGAAGAATGGCAACGGCGGAAGTAGCAGGACGGACTGCTGGCAGTAGTAGCGGCACTAACCGCGGCGGCAGAGGCCCAGATACTGATGCTCAGGCCCAGTCCTCGGAGCGGGATCGGCGAGTGCGCGCCTTGGGCGCCTTCTTGAAGACCCGTCTCGGGCCTTACGAACCGGTCCTGACAGCTGTACAGGCCACGCTCACCTGGGAGAGGCCAGCAAGGAGCGCTCTTGGCTGGGTTGGCGCGCATGCAGCTTTCGGGTGAGCAGCCTTACAAAGAAGGGCATGGGGATGTGAAAATGAAAATATTTCTGGGCATGGAGGAAGGGGAGCAACAGTTTCGGAATGTATGTATATATGTATGTACGTATGTACATGCATTGCGCTGGGCTTTGTATCAATGGAAGACATTAGAAATGAGGGGAAAAGGTACAGTAAGGCGATTCTTCTCAGCTCTAGAAAAGTGAGCCAATGTTGATGTTGTATAGAAGACGTAGGATTTCATTCACAAGGTTCTGTTCAAAACAGCTCTGATTCAAAAGCCCCACCTAATAAGGAGTGCAAAAAATTAATCCTGTTTCCATTATTGTATCTGACTGAAAGGGAATGGGAAAATTCGCCCTGTGTTTAAAAAGCTCTTGTTATCTAATGTTTATTGCTGTTATTTGGGGGGGGGTGCTTATTTGAAGTGAAAGTATTTGTGTAAAGGTCACTGTTTTAGTATACGCTTATCAAGAAAAGCCTCCATTGCCTAGTTCAGGGCTTTTCAACCTTTTCACCGATTGTACCACTTTTAGAATATGCCAACATTCGAGTACTACCAGTCACCCAGCAAGGTGTCAAAAACTTGATGACCAAAAAAAAAGGAAAAAAGTGATAAAGTACAGGTAGTCCTTGACTTACAACAGTTTGCTTAGTGACTGTTCAAAATTACAACGGCACTGAAAAAAGTGACTTATGACCATTTTTCACACTTATGACCATTGCAGCATCCCCAGGGTTATGTGATTTACATTCGGATGCTTGGCAACCGATTCATATTTATGATGGTCACATTGTTCCAGGGTCATGTGATCGTCTTTCGCAATCTTCTAACAAGCAAAGTCAGTGGGGAAACCAGATTCACTGAACAAGCATGTTACTAATTTAATCTCTCCCTCTTTCTTTCTCCCTCTCCCTCTCCCTCTCCCTCTCTTTCTCTCCCTTTTTCTTTTGCTCTCCCTTTCTTTCTCTCCCTTCCTCTCTTTTTCTCTCCCTCTCCTCTCCCTCTTTCTCCCTCTGTCTCCCTTTCTCTCTCTCTCTCTCCCTCTTTCTCCCTCTGTCTCCCTTTCTTTCTTTCTCCCTCTCTTTCTCTCTCCCTCTCTCTCTTTCTCTCTCCCTCTCTTTATCCCTCTCTCTCCCTTCCTCTCTCCCTCTCTCTATTTGTCTTTCTCTCCCTCTCCCTCCCTCACACTCTCTCTCCCTTGTCAATCTTCTGCTCACCTGGCCAGCCTGCCCGGGGATCAATTTGGAGGCATGGAGGGGAGGGGAGCAGCCAAGGGCTGCACATATGACCTTGAAGCGGCCACCTTTGGAAGTACCAACGCTGCTTCAGCCAGGCTCGAGCCGGGCAGAGCGGGCGATGGGAGAGGAGCAGGCCAATTGCCTTCCCGGCAGCTGGGACTCTGGCGCACCTTCCCGGCCAGGGGGTGGGACATAGGCACTGGCACCTGCAATCTGCCTGGCCTCCCCTTTGGCCCCAGGCAGCACCTCTGCCTCACGCACACGCGCGATTGGCTTCCCCGTTGCTGCCACTGCCCGCAATCTGCCCAGCCTCCCCTCTGGCCCCGGGCAGCACCTCTGCCTCACGTGCATGCGCAATTGGCCTCCCCGTCGCTGCCGCTGTCCGCAATCAGCCCAGCCTCCCCTCTGGCCTGGGGCAGCACCTCTGCTTCGCATACACGCGCAATTGGCCTCCCCGTCGCTGCCCGCAATCTGCCCAGCCTCCCCTCTGACCCCAGGCAGCACCTCTGCCTCACGCACACGTGCAATCGGCCTCCCTGTCGCTACTGATGGCCGCAATCTGCCCGGCCTACCTCTGGCCCCGGGCAGCCTTTCTGCCTCGTGTGCGCGATTGGCCTCCGCGCTGCCAGCACCCGCAATCTGCCCAGCCTCCACTTCTCCTGTTTTGCGCAGCTCCTTCTGGCCCCCCTGTGCCCACTGTTAACCCTCCCACCACCATGCAGGGTAAGGTTGGCGCCCCCGTCCAGATGCCCTCGCCTCCCCCAAGCATTTTTTTACTCACCTGCTTTTAGCTGCACTCCCTTTCTCCTTTTACTTCTCTGCCTTCGTTTGCTTCTCTGCCTTCGCCACGTGTTTGTGGGTAAAAAAGAAAAAAGTTCCATGAGACTTTCTAACTTCTTGCGAACTTTTTTTTTTGTCTCACAAACACATGAAGGCTGAAAAGGACAGGAGAAAGGGAATGCTGCTGAAAGCAGATGAGTAAAAAAATGCTTCGGGGAGGTGAGGGTATCTGGGTGGGGGTGTGGGGGACGCAGGCAATGTGTCGCGCAGCTCCAATGGAATCTCGACTGAAGACTGCTTGAGGCTGCCTGCCAATCCCAAGGCTGCCGCCAGTTAGCTGGACCTACGTACTTTGATCCTGAGCTCTCAGTAGGACCCAGGCAACGTGCAGTTCCAGCTGACTTTGCCACAAGCCTGTGCAGCGCTGCTGCCGCTTCACCTCATCCACTTTTACACCTTTTTTTTAACCTTTTTTTTACCTTTTTTTTCAACCTGTCCTACGCGTATCACCAGCCAGGTGCTCGCCTACCACCAGTTGAAAAGCCCTGGCCTAGTTGAATGGCCCACTAGGCAACTTAAATCATATTGAGTTCATGAAGTTTTGCTTTTTGCTGAAAATGAATATAAATTAAAGAAAATGTGGACTAAATCTAAATTGGAATTCTATATAAACTTAATGGAGTTGTTAGAATGCTGTTTTAGGAAAAGGAATGCATAGTGTCATAGTGCAGCAAGGTCAGTAATTGGAGTAATACAGAAGTTTTTGATTCTTTTTAGCAGTATCCTTTGAACTTTAGGTATTTTTATAGATTTCCTTTCAGTTTCTTAAGCTGAGTGTCATAACCAATCATGCCCAGGCAGATCTGAGCCCATGCTGTATCTGATTGTGCTTCTTGATGAGTTATTAGAGGAATCATTATAAGATGAATGCAATTAATGGTTTGGTAGTTCAAGTTGTTGGAATAAGTGGATGCAGTTCCATCACAACAATGCTAATTATATTTGGCAAAGAACTGAATATATAGCTCTTATTCACTGAGGAACAAGCATGTCTTAAATTCTTTTTTCATAAAACATGCTGGTGTGTCATTTGATGACCACTGTTGAGTGATACTATCTTCCATGGACACAGTAATGCTCAGTTTACATTTGGCTTTAAAATAATTACTCCTTTAAAATGCATTGTCAGTAATACTGATTCCAACAATGAGAATGTACTTCAGTTAATTTTTTGTTTTTATTGTATAATCATCCTTAATACAACATACACTGATACAATGTTCTTTCATAATGAAATATATACTATAAAAATTGATAATTCTTAAGTTACATTTTTTAAAAAAATAATTTTTATTAAAAGATTTTACAATTTTTTAAAAAACTACAGCAACATAGAAGATATTTTTAAGCCAAAAGTAAATGTATCCATATTGACCCAAATGAAAAAAAGTCATTATACACTGTATGAATGTCATTAAGAGGCTAATGTGCTTTCAGGTTCATCTAAATCAGACAAGTCAAACTCGTGACGTCACGTGACATTGCGCAACATATCGGGACGGTTTTGCCATTGCCGGCAATAGGGTGGGCGTGGCTTCCAGATGACGCATCTGGCCCATGGGTCGGCAGTTTGACACTCCTGATCTAAATCATACCAGTCTTTCTGTTAAGCCAAAACACAGAATGAAAAATATCTTAAGTTAAAAAAAAGATAATTGAAAAAATAATGTAAACACCCAATTTAACAAAGGTGTTTTCTTGTCTAATTTATTCTTAAAGAACTATTGTGTAATTTATTCTTAAAGAACTATTTTAGCTAGAGCTGGAATTTCATGTCATATTATTTAAAACTGGATTAAACCTTAATTAGAAGTTTTGATTTATTGAAAATTATGGAAAGTGAAAGGGAATTTTTAAAAGTTCTTTGGATTATTTCTGTTCAATATCTTCTGCTCTCTGGCAATCTAGAGTTGGTAACAAGGCAACATTATTTAACCTGACTTCTCTTTTGTGACCCAGGTAAGTTTTCCTGTTCTTTTTATATAACAGTTCCCCCCCCCCTCCAAAAAAAAAAAAAAAACCAGTGTTGCACTAACTGGATTTATTTTCCTTTAGGTTTTTTGCCCTGACCTCTCTTCATCTGATATTCTTAGTTGCATTCACCCTAATACTAATAGTATGTTTAGATCAGTGGAAGTATAGAATCTGGCCTGATATAAAAGGTACGCTCATTTTCCTTTTGAGAACTATATCTCATTTATAATTTCTCATCTACTATAATTATATGATTACCAGGCTCAGCAATTTGTGATTGAAGGTAAATGAGAACTTTACAGTTCCTCAAGGTTCTCCGATACCAGAAAATATATTTGTGTATCTCCATCAAGTTGTACAAAAAAGGGCTGCTTACACTGCTAGTCTAGTCTGTACTCAACAATAACAAATGAGAAAAATAATAGTATGTTATAGCCAACTTTTAGAGGAAAATTGTAATAGTTTCCAATCCAAAAATATATTGGAAATAATATTGGATGGAAGAAATAGCAGTATTCATTTTTAAATGCCTGAATACATAGATAATTTACCATGTGGAGTTCACAGTTGAAGAAAATATGTAGTGTAGGCCAGCCTGGGAGAAAAAAAAATTTCTTATAAAACTGTACATTTAAAAAAAAAAGTTCAAGTAACATAATATAGAAGAGGCTTTTACACATTTACTTCCCCCAAAATGTGGATCAAAACCTGTTATAAAGTTGTAATTTTTATGTGACGAAAAGAAAAAGAATGTTGCAATCATTACTGGAAAATTATCAGATTTATATTTAATTAAAATAAACATTGTTAAATTAAATGACAGCATGCCATTCAAAAGCTATGTGCAACCTTCACCCTAGAAAAAATTATGCAGCCTTGATAGAGCATGCTAGTCATGAGTACAGTAATACATCTGGAGGGCACCCAATTGAAGAAACAGGAATATATTAGTGTGAACTTAGGAAATCAAGATTGAAATTTTTGACTTCATAGAACACAATAAGAGAATTTGAGAGAATAACCATTATTTTTTAATAAACCATAATTAATATTCATAAGCCATTGATTACAAACTGCAATTCACATGTTCACAGAATATACTAAGTGAAAGCCAGAAAACTGCATTATGATTTAATGTGTTGTATAAACTCAGCCATATACTTTCAGCCTAGTCTCTGTCACAAAATTCTATAAGGACAAACAGCTGCTTTAGGTTCCTTAGAAAGATTCAAGTCTGATAGATGATTGGATGGTTTCTTCCTAAAACAGTTATTCACGTTTATTGTAGGCCTACAATATTTTTCAAAGATAATGGACAGGTAATGTGTGACTATAAAAGACCTATTAGTTTCTTCCCAGTATTGTCAACTGGTAAAGACTCAAATACCAGTCAATCTGGTACTTGTTGATTGAAGGATAGTAAGTGGATCTGGATCTTAACTGAAACCTCTATTTTTCCATAATGCAGTATTATCAGCCTAGTGTAATGATATTTAGTAAAAGAATTTGCACTATTTTCCCAAATAACTACAGAAGTAAGAGAAGGTATATAATTGAGTTTCTAAAATAGTTTACAAACCACAATGTCCCGTTCTGTTTTCTGTTCATGGCTATCAATAATAAAATGCCATGTCAACATATGTTTTAATTATTCAGCTTAGTATATTGCCAGGCATTATTTTTGCAACTAATTCTGATTGTATCTTTAATGTTTTAACAGTAAGACCTGATCATCTAGACAATGGAAGGTATGAAAAATTAACTCGCCTTAATTATGAATTTTTATTATCTGAATATAGCTTGCAAAGCTGTAAAGATTTACTATAATTATCAGCAAAAGACATTTAAATACTTGTTTAAGAACAGACATCTTATTTCTAAAAATAATTCATTGCCTCTTCTTATTTGTATATCTAAGACAGAAATCTTATATTTGTTTGTTGTTGTTATTAATTGCGAAGACGTGTCCGACCCATCGCAACCCCATGGACAATGTTCCTCCAGGCCTTCCTGTCCTCTACCATCTTCTGGAGTCCATTTAAGTTCACACCTACTGCTTGACTCCATCCAGCCACCTCATTCTCTGTCGTCCCCTTCTTCTATTGCCCTCAATCTTTCCCAGCATTAGGCCCTTCTCCAGTGAGTCCTTCCTTCTCATTAGGTGGCCAAAGTATTTGAGTTTCTCCAGTACAGGAGATGGATAATCCACCAATGGGTTTTCTCTGTCTGCCTGCTCTTGAGACCAAGTAGCCAAAACTTGACACGCCCTGTCTTCCTGTGGAGTCCATTCTTAACTTGGTCTTTGCTCTGGAAGACTCGTTTTGGCGTGGCTCTCAGCTTATCAGGTTAGACAAAGCAACCCATTGATGGATTATCCCTGAATAATTGGCTTTCCCTTCTAAAAATTTTTGTCCTTATAAGAATTTACCCATTCCTTTGCTTGAGATCATTCCTGATCTCAAACCTAAATTTGAAAAGGGGGTGTGGGGGGGTAACTTCCCCACAGATCCGAGCCAGCCCCAGGGCTCTGGGGGTGGAAAGGGGGGGAAGAAGCTATCAGCAGAGACCACTTGCTGAGCCTTTCTCCCCAATTTCCAAGGTATTTTTTCCCCAAATTGGGGAGAAAATAACAAGCTCCAGGTCCGGATTCAAACTTGAATTTGGATCGTCGGAGCTTGCCCAGCAGCCCAGGGCAACCGCGGGCGCCATTTTAGTTGCCTTTTCAGGCAACAAAGGCAATTCTTGGCTGGGATTCCCCGAACGCGACGAAATAGGAGTGCACAACCAGCGCTTCAATTTCAAATTCCCCAGGTGTAAGGAACTTCCGGGAGGCCGCGGAGCTTGTTTTCGGAGGAAAACGAGCCGCGGCCGCCATTTTAAAGCCGCTGAAGCAGACGGAGCGCAAGGCCGAGGTGGCGCAGCAGTTAGAGTGCAGTACTGCAGGCCACTTTAGCTGACTGTGTTCAGCAGGTCAGCGGTTCAAATCTCACCGGCTCAAGGTTGACTCAGCCTTCCATCCTTCCGGGGTAGGTAAAATGAGGACCCAGATTGTTGGGGGCAATGTAAATATATATATATACATTGCTTACTGGTGTACACCGCTTAGAGAGTGCTTGCACTTAAAGCGGTATATAAGTCTCATAAATAAAATAAATAAATAAGTAAGCCCCTCACAAGAACCGGGGGCTATAAAACATTCCTGGGGGCCGCGGAGTACGTTTTTGGAGGAAAACGGGCCGCGGCCGCCATTTTAACAGCGGAAAAGAAAAAAATTAACGGAGCTCAAAGAAACTCCACAGCTGATCCGGAAGCTCGTAATAGCAGCGGAATAGGACCGCACAACCAGCGCCCTGTTCACGATCACCCAGGGCAACAGGATTTATTTAAAAAAAAATTTTTTTTTTAAACAAGAGTCCAGCCTGCATAGGCCTAACAACACCTAACCCTACTGCAAGGCCAACAGGCCTAAAGGCAGGACACACAGACACATATTAAATAATAATAATAAGAATAATAAGAATAAATTTCTGCTCTGGGTGGCCACCATTTGGTGCCTTTTCTGCTTGTTAAGTCAGGCCTACAGACCTTCTCGAGGTCGCCACTGATATTTTATCTTTTTCTTTTACTGGTGCACATTGCCTGGTCACCTAAGGCCTCTGGGCAGAGCCCAAAGAGTGGCTCCAAACGTGCCTTTGGTACCTTCCTCAGCTACCGTGACCATAGCCCAGAGTGAATACTTTTGTTTATGGTCGGGTGATCAGGAGGACAGTCTTGGTACTTGTTCCAATCTCGCTCCCGCCAATCACTTGCCTGCCTGAGCTTCTTAGTTGTTTTCTGGGACTGCTCAAACGGGATGGAAGGATCCTCGTTGCCTCAGTCCATGAGCATGACCTCTCCACCTCCCAATTGCAGCTGCAGTACACCTTCTGGCCAGAAGGCGGCAGGCAAGTGCAAAGCGAAGACAAAACATTCGCTCGAGAGGCTCTCCAAGCTGGCGGAAAAGCAAACCAGCTGTAGGCACCAGGCTCTGGAGAAGGAGTTCTCCAGAGCGCAGAGGCAGGCCCAATTGGATTTGGTTCAAATGAGGGCTGAGATGGAATTACCATTGGGTCCATCTACATCAACCCAGAGTGTGTGATCCATCCCAGGAACACCGCCACCACTGGACTCGCCATCCACATCGACCCAACAAACAACCACGACTGCGGGCACAACCACTGAGTCCACTTCACCACCTGCAGCCGCCACACTCAGAGGTAACGACATAGGGGACATCTGGGCAGATGGACAGCTAGAGGCCTTATTAACCAAAGTGGTGGACCGAGCCCTAACACAGCGCTCCGCCCATCACGATCAGGGGCCCTCCACCTCGTCCATGCCACACTTTGAACTCCACACAGAGTCCTCAGGCATTCAGGAGCCCGCCTCCCCAGCCCAGTCCTCCATGAGTGGTTGTTCTTCACCACAAGAGGAGGAGCAACCTGAGATTACCATGTCAGAGGATGAGGAACTTCCCCCTGAGCCCCCCTCAGGGGGGTTATTTAATCCCAACCTCTTCCTCACGATACTCCGCAAGGCCACAGTCACGGCGGACATAGGGACGGAACAGTTCCCTCACCCGCAAGCGACACTGGCCACCACGTCCAGACCCATATTCGTTTAAAAGGTGACAACGCAGCACCACGTACCTTGCCCCGCCATTTTCCTGAAAGGGATCAAGAAGCAATGGGAGTCTCCTGTTTCCTTCCCATCAGTGAGTGGTACGGACAAAAAATTGTACAGCACTGCCGCAGATCTCAATGACGCCTTAGAAATTCCTAAAGTAGATGAAGCCTGGACCCCCTTGGTCTCCCAGACAGCCATGGCTGGGGACCTAGTGGAGGCCTTAAGGCAGATGACAAAAAGTGGGAACAAGCAAAACCCACCAGACAGTGGCATGGGCCATAAAAGCAGCCACCTCGGCCTCCTTTTTTGTCCGGACCACCCATAGTTCCTATGGAGGACATGCGGACTCACCAGGACCTGGCTAAGATGGTGGCAGCCACAGAATACGCTGCAGACGCAATGCTCCAGTCGGCCATTTTTTCATCCAGATCCATAGCTTCCAACATAATTGTCAAGAGAATGCTATGGCTAAAACACTGGCAGGCCGACACAAAGGCTAAGTGGCACCTTACTCAAGCAGCAGCCTGTTTGGAGAGGCCCTGGCCCCTTATCTTGTAGAGAACAAGGACAAGCGGAAGGACATGGCACACTTAAACAAAAGGTCTGACAAACGCTCCACACCTTATTTTCGTAGACAGTCCTTTCGGCAACCGGCAACCACACCTACCAGCCAGACCCCCAAGCCATTCACTCCCAGGCAGGACAGGCTGTACGACTGTCCCTACGATAGACCGGGCTTCCGACCCAGGCAGCAAAACCAGTCGAAACGACCATTTCGTGGAACGGGTCGTCCGTACCGGAAGACCAAATGACTCCTACACCAACATACCCATTGGGGGAAGACTAACCCACTTCTTCCACCAGTGGGAACAGACCTCCACGGACAACTGGGTACTACAAACCATCCAGTCCGGGTTGTCCCTGAGTTCCTGATCACACCCCCAGACCGGTTCATCACCTGCTCGGTCTCCAGGAACCCCATCAAACGCAGACTCATGCAGGAGGCCATCCAACACCTGTTGGATATTCACGCCATAGAACCAGTCCCAGCAGAATACAGAGGCAGAGGATTTTACTCCATCCTTTTCATGGTTCCCAAGACCTCAGGAGGATGGAGAGCAATCCTGGACCTCAAAAATGTCAACTGTTACATAGCATACAAAAAATTCAAGATGCAATCCCTTCAGTCCATCTTGGGAAGCATCAGACAAGGAGACTTCCTGGCATCGATAGACCTCATGGAAGCCTACCTCCACATTCCCATTCACCCAAATCACCGTCGGTTCCTACGTTTCTGTTACGAAGGAAAACATTTCCAATACAAGGCCCTTCCGTTCGGCCTGTCCTCGGCACCCAGGGTATTTACCAAAATACTAGCAGTGGTGGCCACCAAACAGAAAAATCCCGATACGCGTCCAGTGTTACCTAGACGACATTTTAATCCAAGCAACACCCTGCAGACAGCTCAGGTGGACGTTAAGGACCGTCATTCGCGTTCTCCAACTACATCGATTCTCAGTAAACTTCCAGAAGAGCCAGACAGTTCCCTCGTCCAGGCTGCTGCACCTGGGGGCCACGATAGACACAACCAACTTCATGGTCTATCTCTCCCAGGAGCGGGTGGCCGGCATCAGGGAACTGGCTCGCCGGGTATACAGACAGCGCTCAGCTCCGATAGTAACCCTCTCCCAGTTATTAGGCAAGATGGTATCTTGCATAGCCATAGTGCCCTGGGCCAGGTTTCATCTGCGGGACCTACAGTGGTTTCTGCTCCCATACCAATGGCAGAACACCAGCGCATCCAATCACCTAGTCAGGGTTCCGCCACAAATACGCAGGGCGCCACGCTGGTGGTGGTCTCGGGCCGTGACCAAGGGGTCACTCTTCAAGGAACCAGACAGGGTTACCATCACTACAGACGCCAGTCTGTACGGTTGGGGAGCCCATCTGGAGTCTCAGTTTGTGCAGGGATGTTGGTCAGCCGCGGATCTGAGAAACAACATCAACTGGCTAGAACTCAGGGCTATCAACCTAGCTCTGCAACATTTCAAATACAGAATCAGAGGCCGCCATGTTCTAGTCCTAACAGACAACGTAGCAGCCAAGGCACACATCAATCGGCGGGGGGGACCAGATCAAAAACCCTCATGACAGAGGTGCGGCTCCTATTCAACTGGGTAGAGTCCAGTCTGGAGTCGCTAAAAGCGGAACACATATCGGGGGTGAACAACCAACAAGCGGACTTCCTAAGTCGCACCACAGTGGACCCTTCGGAGTGGGGGCTACACCCGGACTTGTTCCTAGACATCTCGATCTGTTCACATCATCAGACAATGCTCAGCTCCCCAGATTTTACTCCCGCTACTTCAATCCGCGGACGGAGGGGATGGACGCCTTAAGAACTCAGTAGCCCCAAGGCCTACTTTATGCCTTCCCCCCACTCCCACTCATACCGGCGGTTATCCGCAAGCTGATACACAAGCGGGCAGAAGTGATCCTAGTAGCACCATACCGGCCACAGAGACCGTGGTTCGCCAACCTGATGAACCTGTCTCTATCGCCCCCGTGGAACATTCCTCCTCACCGAGTGTCCCTACACCAGGGAACCATTCGTCATCCGGAACCCCAATGGTTACAGTTGACCGTCTGGCACTTGAGCACCAGATAATGACGCAGGGACTATTCTCTCCTGGTGCCATTACCATTTGTTGCCGTCCAGCAACAAATCGCATTTATGATTCCACTTGGAAAAATTTTTGCCTTTGGTGTAGGAAACGGCAGTTTGACATGCACAAACTCTACATCCCTCAGATAGTAGATTACCTCTAGGAGGAACTGGACAGAGGCCTCGCCCCCGCGACCATCTGCAGGCAAGTGGTAGCCCTGTCCACCCTCCTCACCTGCACGGACTCGGTTCCCTTAGCTCACCATCCCAGGATCCGCGCCTTTATCAAGGGCGCCTATAACACCAGACCTCCCATAGTTCACAGGTACCTGTCCTGGGAACTATCGTGAGTTCTTCACGCGCTCATTCGGTCACCCTTTGAACCATTGGCGACCGTTTCCTTGCGACACCTGTCACTAAAGGTGGCGTTTCTGATTGCCATCACATCGGCCAGACGAATCTTGGAACTGGCCGCATTGTCAGTCAGAAATGACCTATGCATTTTCCACAATGACAGGGTGGTCCTTAGGTTAGATCCCTCCTTCATACTGAAGGTGAATTCGCTCTTTCAGAGGACACAAGAAGTAATTCTCCCAAACTTCTGTCCAAACCCAACACATGACTGGGAGCGGCAATGGCATACGTTGGACATCCGCAGAGCGTTGTGGCGTTATATAAAACATACGGAACCCTTCCGCAAGTCAGAGGCTCTATTTGTGTCCTTCCAAACAGGCACCTTGGGGCGGAAAGTTTCCGCCGGCACCATTGGAAAGTGGATCTGAAACTGTATCGCGGAAGCGTACAAGGTATCGTCTCTGCCGCCCCCAAGCCATCTCACTGCCCATTCCACCCGAAGCGCTCCAACTTCGGTGGCATGGGCTACCCAGGCATCCATCGAGGAAATTTGCAGGGCCGCGACATGGTCTTCGCCTTCCCCGTTTGTACACCACTACAAAATCGACCGCTTTGTCTCGGCGGACGCCTCCTTTGGTAGGAGGGTCCTCCAGCAAGTTGTCTCAGAGATCAATCTACTGGTCTTATCTGTCTCCCACCCCTCAGAACAGTGAGGCTTTGGTACGTCCCATTGGTGGATTATCCATCTCCTGTACTGGAGAAGGGGCGTTGGTCTTACCTGAATGCCTTTTCTCAGTACGGAGATGGATAATCCACACCCATCCCAAGGTCAGCAGGCCGTTATTAGGGAACTGAGAGCTAATACCTCGTCAACCTTCAGCCAATTCGCCCTCATTAAGAATGGACTCCACAGGAAGAGAGGGCGTGTCAAGTTTTGGCTACTTGGTCTCAAGAGCAGGCAGACAGAGAAAACCCATCCGTGGATTATCCATCTCTGTACTGAGAAAAGGCGTTCAGGTAAGACCAACGCCCCTTCAACTTCAGGATCTGGCCTTCTAAAGAGCAGTCGGGGTTGATCTCTTCTAGGACTACCGGTTTGAACACCTTGCAGTCCAGGACACTCGCAGGAGTCTTCTCCAGCACCATAGTTCAAAGGCCTCATTTTTTTTGCGCTCAGCCTTTCTTATGGTCCAACTTTCACAGCCATACATTGCAACTGGGAAAACCATGGCCTTGACTATACACACTTTTGTTGGCAGGGTGATGTCTCTGCTTTTTAGTATGCTGTCTAGATTTGCTGTAGCTTTCCTCCTCAGGAGCAAGCATCTTTTAATTTCTTGGCTGCAGTCCCCATCTGAGGTGATCTTGGAGCCCAGGAAAATCAAATCTATTTCTTCCCCATCTATTTGCCAGAAATTGAGAGGGCCGGATGCCATGATTTTGGTTTTCTTAATGTTGAGTTTCAAGCCAACTTTTGCACTCTCCTTCTTCATCCACATATTTGTTTAGGAGTAAGCTTAATACTCCACAGTAAAATATCAGCTAGATTAGATTGTATGCCATATTAAGTCTCATAAATCTATATGAGTATGCATGGAGTTTTCTTGAGTTCCAGTTTTCTTGAAATGAAATACTGAAAGTCTGAAAAAAACTCTGCTTTTTTGCTGCTTTTTAATTGCTCTGAGTACATAGTCAAGATTATTTATTGGAAATTAATTACCTCTTTCAAGTGCAAACTAGAACTCTCCACAAAGTTGATTTTTTTGCTCATGTCTAATTTAAAGTATTCAAGAAAACTCTCATTAACTTCTATGAATTTATTTGCAAAAATGCCATTTATTAAAAATCTATTAATGCTGTAACAGATTCTTAACTCAGAGAATAGTTTCTCTGTTTAAGTACCTATATGCACTTTAAATGAAAAGGCAGATGATATTTTATCATTAAGATTGGAGGTCAGTTTACCACAGTAAAAGTTCCATTGATGTTATGGATTTGAGCAAGACAAATATCACTTTAGCTTTCATCTGTAAGATGTATATTACAAATATTAATGAACTCTGTAAGTGAAATGCAGCTATTTGAAAACAGTGCTCAGTGTATTTGTATTTTACAATGAGGTAAAATATAATCTGTTTTTTTTTTTTTTTTCCAGTTGGGGCTTTGTCCATCCTCGACTTTTGAGTGTACCTGAACTATGCCACTTTTTGGCCAAAGGATGGATTACAGGAGTCAGCTTCATGAGAAGCCTGCTGAGTTTCAAAAAGCAAAATCCTGGCAAGGTGAAAAACAATCCCAAGTTGTAGGAACCATGTGTTAATTGGGGGATGGGGGAAAGCTACTCCAAAGCAAAAACCTGAGAAAAGGAGATGTTTGAATATTTCTGTATAAAAATATAATATACCTGGTTCTGTGCTATATAATTTATATAATGTGAGTTTCCTTGCAAGCGTAAGCATTGAAGGATTGAGAAGCAAATACAGAGCTTTTATAAGAAAAGGGAAATTGGAAAAATAAGGGAATACAAGAATATCCCATTTCTATTTGATGGAACTTTCAACCAATATCCTAGAATTGCCCTGATCTGTCCCCATTGCCCATAAGACGAAGGCAACTGAAATTGATACTCCTGCCATGTTCCAACCCAGCTGCATGTATAATTTCAGTTTGAAATCACTTCTCAAAAAGTTTGTTGGCAACAGTCCAAATATACCTACAATTGTCTTGAATCATAACCAGTTTGCCTAATACAAATTGATTTCAAGGTTTTGTTTTTGCAGTTCTGCCTTTTAGCTTGCGGTGTCCTTACATTTTTGGCTGTCTTAGGATACTACATCCCTGGTATCTGTCTTGCCTATCTTATAAGTGAGTATCAAAGGGACGATTGGATACTAGAATACTTTTCTTGTAAAGGGGGAAAATCATTTATTAACATTTTAAACGACAGGGTCAAAAGTGAGCTAACCAAATCCAGTTTGAATTTGCTATAGTGCCGTGGTGGCAAAGCTATGGCACATGTGCCACAGGCAGCACGCAGAGCCCTCTCTGTGGGCATGCGTGCTGTCGCCTCAGTGCTAGGCCTTCAATCCCGTCCATGAGCAACCTGCATTAAAATCTCCCTGGACAAGTGATTTTTTAAGCTGGGTTTTATAAACCTTTTCGCTTTAGGACTCTGCCACCGTGTGCAAAAAAAAAAAAAAAAAAGTTCAACCAATCAATCAATTTCAACTTCCTGCAGGGGAAAAAAGATCTCGCAAAGTGAAGGAAATGATTGGTCCATTAGTGGGTAAAAGTGGCAAGAAGCTGACAAGCAACAGGGAGAAAGCAGAACTATTTAACTCGTTTTTTGTATCTGTCTTTACACAAGGGGAAAAAAAAGACCAACCTATCAAAAATAATGCCATAAAAAACAGAATAGAAACACGTTAAGATAGGCAAAAAAATAGTAAGTGAGCATCTGTCCAGCCTAGACGTGTTCAAATCGCCAGGACCAGATGGATTACACCCCAAGGTTCTCAAGGAACTGGCAGATGTGATCTCAAAGATACTGGAGCACAAGGGAACTACCAGAGGACTGGAAAAGAGCTGATGTAGTTCCCATCTACAAAAAAGGGAAAAAAACGGATCCAGGAAATTACAGACCTATCAGCCTGACTTCAATACCTGGAAAGATCCTGGAAAAGATAATCAAACAACAAATCAGTGAACACCTAGAGCAGTGGTTCTCAACCTGTGGGTCGGGACCCCATTTGGGATCGAACGACCATTTCACAGGGGTCGCCAAACAATGCAGTCTGCCATTTTTCCCCCCTTTTCCTTAGTTGTGCTACTCCCTCTTGTTCTATTGGCTTTTGAAAGCCAATAAAATAGACTCTCTTGAATAGAGTCTAATTCTATTGGCTTTCAAAAGCCAATAGGAATTGTCCAGGCTGTCTCTGCCCTGCTGAGCCCACCAAAAGTCCCATTCTGCAAACGGTGCTGCACCAGTTGAGTAGTCCTCGACTTACGACCAGCTGAGTAGTCCTCGACTTACGACCGGTTGGGGGTCACGGCATTAAAAAGGTTGAGAACCACTGACCTAGAGGCAAACAAAGTCATTACCAAAAGCCAACATGGGTTTGTCAAAAATAGATCATGCCAGACAAATCTTATTGCATTCTTTGACCAAGTGACAAAAATAGTGGATCAGAGGAATGCAGTGGACATAATTTATTTGGACTTCAGTAAGGCATTTGACAAAGTAGATCACAACCTACTACTTGACAAGATAGAAAAGTGGGGTAGACAGCACCACCACCAGATGGATCTGTAGCTGGCTGGCCGGCCGTACTCAGCGTGTGGTCCTCAATGGAACCGCATCTACATGGAGGGAAGTGTGTAGTGGGGTGCCCCAGGGCTCTGTTCTGGGCCCAGTGCTCTTCAACATCTTTATCAACGATTTGGATGAGGGGATAGATGGGGAACTCATCAAATTTGCAGACAACACCAAGCTGGCAGGAATAGCCAACACTCCAGAAGAAAGGCTTAAGATACAGAAGGATCTGGACAGACTTGAACACTGGGCACTATCTAACAAAATGAAATTCAGTGGTGAAAAAAGCAAGGTTCTACATTTAGGCAAGAAAAACCAAATGCACAGCTATAGTATAGAGGGTACCATGCTCAATAGTAGTAACTGTGAGAGGGACCTCGGAGTCCTAGTGGACAATCACCTAAATATGAGCCAGCAGTGTGCTGCAGCTGCCAAAAAGGCCAACACAGTGCTGGGTGCATTAACAGAGGGATAGAACCAAGATCACGTGAAGTGTTAATACCACTTTACAATGCCTTGGTAAGGCCACACTTGGAATACTGCATCCAGTCTTTGTCACCATGATGTAAAAAAGATGTTGAGACTCTAGAAAGAGTACAGAGAAGAGCAACAAAGATTATTAGGGGACTGGAGGCTAAAGCATATAAGAAATGGCTGCTGGAATTGGGTATGTCTAGTTTAATGAAGAGAAGGACAAGGGGGGACATGATAGCAGTATTCCAATATCTCAGGGGCTGCCACAGAGAAGAGGGTGTCAAGCTATTTTCCAAAGCGCCTGAAGGTAGGACAAGAAGCAACGAGTAGCAACTAAGCAAGGAGAGAAGCAACCTAGAACTAAGGAGAAACTTCCTGACAGTTAGAACAATTAACCAGTGGAACAACCTGCCTCCAGAAGCGGTGAATGCTCCAACACTGGAGGTTTTAAAGAAGAGACTGGATAGCCATTTGTCCGAAATGGTATAGGGTTTCCTGCCTGAGCAGAGGGTTGGACTAAATGACCTCCAAGGTCCCTTCCAACTGTATTATTATTATTATCATTATTATTATTATTATTTAGAATTGATTGATTAAACTTTAGTTTTAGTCCCACACAGTGGCGGAGAAGGTGACGGGGGACCGCGTCAGAGCTGGAAAGAAAGTGTGGGGGGGGAGCAGTAGAGCAGGATGCTCCATGCAAGGGTTGGGATGGGGTGGCAGGAGCAGATGCTCTATACAAGGGTGGGTCGGTGCAGCAGGAGAAGTCTCTGTGAGGGTTGGGTTGGCGCAGCAGAAGAAAGGCGCTCTGCGAGTGCTAGGTCAAGGTGGCGGGAGCAAGACACTCCGTGCGAAGGTTGGATCGGTGCAGCGGGAGAAGGGCGTTCTGCGAGGATTGGGTCGGCGCAACGGGAGAAGGGCTCTGCGAGGGTTGGGTCGGCGCGGCGGGAGAAACGCTCTGCAAGGGGTTGATGCGGCAGGACCAGGACCCTCCACGGGAGGGGTGGGTCAGAGCGGTGGCAGCGATGGAGCACTCCGGTGGGAGGGAAGTAGTGGCTGGCTGTGGGGTGCTTCTCACTGCATTCCCCCCCCCCCCCGACCTTTAAACCATACAGAGTTGTATCATGGAAAAGCCAACCCATGGCTGAATGGAATATGATGGCCTCCTCCATCTTACCGCACCTCAGTAACAACCCCACAAAGCCCCACCCCAGTGGTGGGATTCATTCCATAGAACCGGTACCTAATTTATTTTGAGTTCAGAGAACTGGCCCAGAAATAGCCAGACTAGCAAGCAAAGCGGTTGGATGCACATGAATGTATGCTAGTCTGGCATGTCAAAACAAACAGGTTTGTTCCCTACTCCTGACAGTGAAAACGCTCCACCTTACCTGAGACTGGTTTTTTTTTTTTCTCCAGTCAATGTTTGAGGCCAAACTGTTCTACCTCATGCAGAATGGGAAGGATCCTCATTCTGCAGCAAGTAAACTTTAAAGAAAGTTTAAAAATGACAGAGAAAATCCTCCACCTTACATGGGATCAGTATTTTTTTCTCCACTCTCTTTGGCTGTTCGCTGCCAGACTGTCTGGCAGCAAAAAGCCGAGACAGGAGAAAATCCTCCCCTTATGTGGGATGGCGGGGGGGGGATTCTTGGCTCTCCAAGGCTTTTTGCTGCCAGCAAGTAAACTTTAAAGAAAGTTTAAAAAGTATGGTAGAGAAAATAATCCACGTTACATGGGAGCAGGGTTTTTCTCTCTGTTCCCCTCACACACCTCAGTACTTACCACGGCCGCCAGCAACTCGCGTAGGTCCATTAGGCCAACGCCCAGAGCTGCATTGGAGGAGCACGAAGGAGGTGAAGCGGTCAGCTAGGAAGCCCCGCTTAGAGGTGGCAGAGCACTCCCAGGGCCAGCAGGCAGCAGGCAAAAGGCCACCCTGAGCGGGGGAAGCCAGACCCCCTCAGGCGCAGCAGAGATGGGGGGGCACATAAGCCTAGCTGGGACTGGGGGGCCATGGCGCTGATGGAGATCCAGCTTTTCCTGTTTGGGGTAGCCTTCGGCTTGCTGGGTGTGGGTGTACTCTACCACTTCTACTCAAGCTTGCTACCCGGACGTTTCACCTCCTTTGTGCTGGGCGGTCCAGATGCTCCAGGCAGTGATGGTAGCCTAATGGACCTGCGTGAGCTGCTGATGCCAGCGGTCCAAGGCGGGGCTAAAGTGTATCAGGTGTGCAAGGGGAACAGGCTCCACGTGCAGGCCAACGGCAAGATCTGTGAGGGGGCCAAGGAGATGACCAGCAGCAACCTGCTCTCCAACCACAAGCAAAAACAGATGGAACAGAGTAGGTGCATCTGGCAGACTGCATCACGCGCTTCCTCCCTCCCCTACTTTGCCTGCTGCTGGAGGACTGGCCTGGTATTGGCAGTGGGCTGCGGAGCCCAGAGTACATGGGTCGAGGGGCCGGCAGGCTGTGGCTGCTGACGGACACTGTTGGCCCCCATGCACTCGCTGTGTGCAGGGGCCAATGGTATCAGGCTGCATCCGCCCCGGCCCCTGCCTCGCCTTGCAGCAATGGCACCCCTGCCTCGCCTCACCCCGCAGGACGAGGCTCCTGCCCACCGTCCCACTGGCCAGAGACCCCCTGGATCTCTCCCAACCCTGCCTGGCCCACAGGCGTCCCCACAAGCAACATTGAGGTGGCCATGCCCACATAGTTTGCCATGACACTGCAGCCATGCCCATCCAGTGGCCAGGCCCACCCAGTCTGCCATACCCACTCGGCACCCGGCAATACATAAATGGGTTTTGGATTGCAGTTTGGGCACTCGGTCTCTAAAAGGTTCGCCATCACCGCTATATGCATTGTAAAATGCTCATTATAGCAACTTCACATTTTAACCCATCTGTTCCAAATATTTCTTAAAGATGTTTATTGATTAGTAGTCTTCTAATCATTCTTTTTTCCAGTGCTTTCTCTCTTATTGTGGCCACTTGCTGTATACCATAACCTGAGTCAACATCTGTACATTAAACTACAGCCAGCTCTGCAACGGTTGGACTTCAGTGTTCGTGGTTATATGATGTCCAAACATAAGGAGAGACAGTGTGAGTCTAATTTTCATTAGAGGCTCTCTCTCTCTTTTTTTTTTTTTTTTTTACATTTTGTGCACTGTATCTTTTTATTGGTACATGAAAGACTTAGCATCATTGTGCTTTGGATGAAATTATTAAATATTCTTATGTAACATTGACAAGCCTTTTCCTGTCCTAAACAGATTTTTTGGGGAAATACCCATTTCTTGTAGATGTTCAAATTCTAGAATCTTAATCTGTAAATAGTATTGTTTTGGTCTTTCTTCTGTTTACTTCTGTGAAGATAGATATCTAATTTCATTTTAGCACGTCACCACATTTGGAGGGAGCATCCTGCTGGTGCCGATGAGAGTGATAGTGAAGAAGAGCTTGCTGCTTTTTGTCCTAAGGTAAAAGTAGCACAGATTTTGGTAAAGAATAGCATATTGTTGAAATTTGTGGAAAGAGTGCAAAGGGGAGAGATGGTAGTGTTTTCATGATTTGGAGAATGGAGTATCTATAAATATTTATTTATTAAAGAGGTGATTTTTTAAAAAAAATGCTGTTGGGTTTGTTTTGTAAAAATTGCACCTCAGGTGCAGACTCTTCCTCCTTACAGTAGTTAGATTTTCACCAATGCCAACACTTTTGTTTTTATAACCTATAGCCCAGTGGTCCCCAACCTTTCTGGCTCCACTGACCAGCAGTGACAGTGATGGCAGGAGGGGATGGTTTCGCATGCAAAGCCTAGCTCCCACGCATGCACAAATAAAGCTTCGTGCACTCACCCGCCGTTTGTGTGGCCTAGAGTTTGGGGATTCCTGCTCTAGGCCACATTTCAACAGAATACAGAGAAGCAGACCAAATGTGTGACCATTTATATTTACTGACATGATTCAGTAAACATAGACCAAATCAACAAAAAATAAAAGTGTGCAATGGCCCTATGGTGGTTGCTTGCTTTCAAGATTTTTTTTATAATTGCATATAATTGGATTCTATGGTATGATTTTCTTAATATAATAAAAGCATCTAAATATTTATTGAGCAATTTTTTATTTATGATTAGTATATGTAAACCAATTATTAGTACATAATATTTACATTTCATTGTGAATGTTTGATTATTTTTGATGCTCTAAACCAGGGTGTCAAACTGCCAGCCCGCAGGCCAGATGTGTCATGGCAAAACCGCGCCCACCCCGTTGCCGGCAATGGGAAAAAAGTCGCAACATATCATGTAATGTTGCGAGTTTGACAGCCCTGCTCTAAACTTTTCAAGTTAACTATTGTAGGGAAATAGAATTATTTACAGTTCTTTAAAAGTTTAAAAATAGAATTTCTATGTAAAAATGTGCATAAAAATCAGTATAATGGAGCCATAGTTGTATTTTAACAGCCGTACTGGTTAAGTAAGTAGTTGTTGATAACTTGACCAATATTGGAATTAATGTAATCAATACCAAAATTCATTACTCATAAAGTACTATACTGCATGAGCAAAACACAGTTGTTCCTTTTTCTTGCAATAATACTTATATCAAAGAGAGAGTTTTATTGTAACAATGAAAAAATGATGTATGCGTGTATTGCAGCATGTCCATTTATTGTATTAATACGAAATGAAGAAAGTTCCTAAAATAGAGGATGATTAAGGTAAATAGCTGAAGGTAGTCTTGGCTGTGTTTATATTGCTTAGCTATACATAGGTGCTTAGGGTTTCTCTTCATTTAGCGATTATTTATAGCATCACAAACTATGCTGTGTTCTTTGGGATAAAGCCAGATATTTCAGAAAAACAATATTTCTTCTACCTCTCAAAATTCATTATCATAAACATAGCCAATTCTTCACCCTAGAAAGGTAAATGAAATTATTACTGCACTTCAGAGTAAGTGAAAATCTTCCCATTTGCAAAATGAGGGGACATATCTCATGTTTAAGTGAAGCAGAAATATTTGGTCCATTATTAATTTTAAGTGAATTAAATTAGCTGGATTCCAATTATAGGCCCTTCTCTAACTTCATGGACTAAAGACAAGACAATTATGCTAGCCACTGACTTTAATTTGGGTAGATTTTGAATGTGTGAATTTGGGATTTCTTTCTATACAGGTGGTCTTCATTTAATGTCCATTCATTCAATGACTGAAGTGAAGATGGTCCTGAACGAGTGATAGTTACAACTGATTCTCATGACCATTCCAGAATTGCTGAGCCATATGATTGGGATCCAAGTGCCCAGCTTTTTATTAGGACATTGCAAAGTAGCACAGTTATGTGGTTGCCATTTATGATCTTCTTTGCCACTTCCTACAACCTGTCCTGTTACTGTTTTCAAATATTGGCTTACATACAATTGCTATGGTAATTCACAGTTTACTCAATGTCAAAGAGATAACAAAAGAATTCAAACCAAACAATCTCAGATGCTTGCTTGAATTATTGACTTTTAAATAGGAATGTGCAAAAGAATAGTCCAAAATCAGTTCAAGATTCCAAAAGCCAGATCAGGTTGTCAGCAAGCCCAGAGATCAGAAGTTCAAGGTTTCTTACATGAACAGGATTCACAGAAACATCACAGAAGAGCTGGAGATCAGATATTGTTTCCAGTAAATGGAACATGGGTCAGGGCTGCTTCTTAATTTAGACCAGCGGATCTCAACGTTTGTGTGACGGCAACCCCCGTCACACAAACGTTCTGCGCATGCACGGCGCGGCGCGCATGGGGGCGGGGCCCCATGCGCGCTGCGCATGCGTGGCGCCACCCCGAGGGGAGAAAATGGTGGATCGCCTTCTTTGGCGACCCCCGAAAAATGGTCGATCGACCCCAAATAGGGTCATGACCCATAGGTTGAGAACTGCTGATTTAGACTGTAGTCAGCTGTCACTAATCAAAAGAGTTACTTCATTGCTTGGCAAGATGCCTCATAGAACATCTGTCCTCTCTATTCCTCAGGAGTGGGGACTGAGAGGTGTTATGTCATTCTCATCTGACTGATTCATTTATCCAGGTGGTCTTGTTCTAATCAGTCAACTTGGCTTGGTATCTAAGGCTTACATTTCACAGATTCGGCTGGGGCAGCATATTTAGATTCAGAATCTAAATAAGTTTAAGGTGGAAGAAAGCAGCAGCTTGCAAATGGGAACCACATGATGTCCTTACTTAATAAACACATTACTTAATAAACGAGTGAATTACTTAAAGAAGACACCTGGGAAGTGCCAGAACTGCCATTACTAAGTAGCATGGTCATGTGTCATTGTGCTTTACAACTATATGCCTTTGCGACAGAAATTCTGCTCCCAATTGGCATAGTTAAGTGAGGACTACTTACAGTATATATAAATTATTTTTATTTGGCATCCAACTCCCTATAACTGGGTGGTTCACAACAATCAAAATAAAGCAATAAAACAAGAAAAAGAATGACAGGAATAACTATATACATTTGCCTACTTAGTCAATAGTATTCAAACCTTTTTTCTCCCCCCCCCCCAAGTTGGATGATGCTGTGGTTGCCAAAGAACTGACTTTCTCTGACTCTGAGCATTCTGATGCAGAAGTGTCTTATACTGAGAATGGGACATTCAATTTATCCCGAGGCCAAACTCCATTGACAGAAGGTTCTGAGGGTAAGTAGAATGTATGGGGGGGGGAATGCAAGATGTATTTGATATTAAATATAACTTTGGAGGCCCATCAGGATAAAAAAGCAAAACAAAACAAAAACTAAATAGCTACTTACCATCCAGTATGAAAACATGATAGAACTGCTCTAAAATGTTTGCACTTAAATTGGATGTTGAGAAGTGACTGATATGGGAAGATAAATACTAAGATCAACTGAATAATATTTTTTGTTTATTGAACAGGAACCTTTCAGAACTCAATATCCTGTTGAGAGCTTTCTAAGATAAGATTGGGAAAGGTATCTGTGTCATAATGAGTTTAACATCCATTTATCAGCTAAGGTTAACAGAGTGCAGATAGAGGAGTACTTGATTCTTCCAATATTGACTGTAAGCTGTAATTCAGTCTGTTTGATTTTTCTGTTCCTCATGCAAGGAATTCAGTTTGACTGTAAGGTTTCATTATACTCATTTTCATAATGCCTTTATTTGTAGCCCAAAACACATTTTGTGTGGAAAAAAATACAGCTTAAATGAAAATTTGTTCACACATATAGATACATGAATTTTAATTACCCATTAAATTTCTCTTTAGACTTTGATGGCCACAGCGATCCAGAGGAATCTTTTGCTCGAGATCTTCCAGATTTCCCTTCTATTAACCCTGAGATGACAGGTATAGACGATGAGGATGACACCAGCATTGGCATTCCAAGCCTTGCCCCCCATCACCGTGCCCAGGAAGAGAACCAACAATCTCATAAACAGGAAGCAGTGACTTCAGAATTTCTCCTGAGTGAGCTTCCATTAATGCACAATCTGACAGATGACTTAGCTGGTTTTGTGACCAGGGGAATGATTCAGCTAGCCTTGTCAGGAACTTCCCAGTCAGTTGCTATGCATAACAACAGACAGCAGCAAAATGCCACGGCCTTCCTTCGGACCTCCAGCTCAGAGCTGGATACAGATGCTGAAGGGGATGATTTTGAACTATTAGATCAATCAGAGCTGAATCAGATGGATCCTTCAAATTCCCGTGGTCAATAACAATTATCTGGCATTTGTTTTCTGGCTCCTTTGCTAATGGACCAGAATTAGAAGAGCCCAGTGGAGGAGTAAGATATTACCATACAGTTTTCTTGGCTAATTTGGCTTGGCAAATTAGGGAAATTGTATACATTTTAGAACAAAAGACTACTATAGTAGAATTAGAAGAATTTGGCTAATGGATTTCCTGTGATCTACATCTTTGTATTTTGTACTTTGCACTCTTAGTTCAAAAAGGAAAAAAAAAATCCTGCTGCCTGATTTATTAAATGACTCCAGTGATAGGCTTCAGATCTTGAAAAACAAGCCATCAGAAATAGTCTTGTATTTAAGACACAAACTAAGTTCTTGAGTAATTCAGGTGAGTATTTTTCCCAGTTTCTGGTTTAGGGTTTAAATTTTCCCAAGACCTTAGAGGTACTAGAAATTACTTCCATCTCTAGCAAAGATTGCATGGAATGATTCCAAATACATAATTTATTGAAACCCTAGGTGAGATATTCTCACAGAAAATAATAGCAATAATATACACACAGAGATCTCTATAAGCTTTTGAATGAAGTTTTCTTATCTTCTCTCCACCACATACATGAAAGAATTGCCATTTCATTCTAGAAATCATCAAGTCTCTTATTGATTTCAAAATTGGAATATAATATCTAAATTAGTTAGATACCCAGCAAGCAGTCTGTCATTCTGATCTATCCCACTATTGTTGACATGCCCATTTCACGTTATCTGTAGCTGTTTAACTCCCAGATGGATTCCTACTTTCTGAAGAAAAATTGCTTATTAAGGAAGCTAATTGATTTCCACTGAAAGGTGATAAAGGCCAGAATCTTAAGAACAACTGCTCCAATAAAAGTGGGCTACACTGCTAATGATAACTCTTTTAGAAAAATTCCCTAAGAACACAAAATGGGAACAAAATTTCATCAAGGGGAAAGGAGACATGGGAAATTCTGAGAGAGCAGGAACACTCTATTTGAAAACCAATTTCATCAGACTTAATAGAATTGTTAGTATATCTTGGTTGTACTGTTTGCATTATTGCACAGGTACATTCCTTCTCAGTAAAACATCTGCTAATATCTGGATGTTACAAATACTATGGCACCAGGTCTGTTCATAATACTGCTTCTTTGCGTGAGTAAAACTAGCAAAGGATTTTTTTTATTGCATTCATCATAAAACAGTTTTGCAGACCTACAAAAAACAAGCCTTCTTTAAATAGTTCATACTGTGAGGAACTTATGAATTAATTATTCTGGTGCTTTGTAATTTTCTGTACAGAATTCCATATACAAACTATTTCTATACTAAACTATTGGAAAATTGTACCTTAGAAGTAATTATCCTTGATGCAAAGCCATCCTGGTGATTCTCTGAACAAGAGAGACTTGAATAAGTGCTGTGCTTTTATACTTTAAACATTTATTTAGATTACTTTATTTGAACTGCTTATAACAACTTGTGCATTAGCATATCCAGTTAGAAGGTCTTGCTCCATATTTTTATAATAGCAATTCAATCTGTATCATTTTTGCAGGCTCAGTAGTTTTGAGGTTTACTTTTTCCCCCAACATAGAGCATTAAAAGACATTCATAAAATACTGCCTATTGTTTTATTGGCCAGTAATACTGTGATGTTAATGCTATATGAGTAATAGCACATTCTTGCAGAGAATATTTGAAACGGTAATACATTGTAAATTTAAAACAGCTTGGTTTGAGTAGCATTTGTGTGGCAATATCATGTTATTTAATTGCCTTTTTGAGTGTTTATAAATCAGCCAATATTGTAGAGTATTTATAGTAAATTGTCTCATTGAAGAAGTTTTTAAAGTAAAATGCTGATAATTTTTGAAATGGAAAACTGACTACTTCATTAGATTTTATGTGATGTGGAATAGAAAAAGGTTTAGTGCAATAAGACCACCAAACACTCCTCCATTGTATTAATAGTTAAATATATTTTAAACATTTTGCTGGGTGTTTCTTTCTGCTGTATCTGCTGCAAAATAAAGTATTTGAGAAAAAAATTCTGTTTGTTTCATTTCTCTAGTTCCAACAGTAAGAAATTTCTTTGAATACTTTTCCCACAGCGCCATACAATTGTTAACTTAGCTCAGCTGCTATTTTTTCAGTTTCTCATATAAATAAAATATACATTAACAATTTAGATCCAATAGTTATACTCGCATGCCATTTATTTAAATGCTATTTATTGGAATATGATGTATTTATGTACTATTAGATTTATATTCTGTCTTTCCTCCAAGAATGCAGGACAGATTGTACAGGGATCTTTCTTTTTATCCCTCATGTTAACCTTATTATGTTCATTTGATATGAGAAAAAGTGATTGGCCCGAGTCACTTAATGAGAGTAACTGAAAGTAGATTTGAAGTTCACATTACATTGGCTATTTGTATATGCACCTTTTTTGGAGAAGTTTGCTTTTTGAAACGTTTTTTAAAATGTATATTCTTCCATTGTTTTACCATCCATTGTCTCTCAACATACAATTATTGTCTCTCAGTGTAATACAGTTATCTTTATAAAAATATGGAAGTCCAAGAGGAACTATATTCAGTGTTTCTTTGCCTTCTAGCACAAGTGCTCTTCTGTTCAGCTACTTATGCCATCCTTCAGGATACCGTGAGCGCACACAGGGTTGGGGCACCAACAGAGAACCATTACTTTTGAGTCTCTGCTTTTTTTCAACCTTTGAACCCAGAGCATCCCATCTTGAGCAGGACAGGCTCTCCGGAGTTAATTTGAAAGTTGCAGTCTTTTTTCTAAGAAAATTTTATTAGTTTTCTAGTTTTACATTTCAGTATTGGAAAAGCAACGTGGTGGCTGAGTTGGTCAATTTCCATAACATACAAATATCTTTAATACAGATCTCAAACTATTACATTAAATGTTTCCCCTCTTTTCCTCTTAGTATTTACTGTCTCATCTTTAAATTAGTACAATTCTTATATCAATTAAATAAAAAATAACCTTGCATTTATCAATAATTTTTAGTTTACACATCCTAGTTGTTTTAACATTCAATCTTTTTAGACAATGTCCTGATTAATTTTTCTCAATTTTTGGTTTCCATTAATATTTATATTTCACGTTTGATATTTATAATTTCCAAATTTTAAATAACCCCAATTCCCTTTATCACAATTCATCACAAGATCTAATGTTCAGAATACATGTCTTATCTATTTGAGTTCTTACCATCTTACATCAACTAATTAGTAATACAATATAATATTCTTATTTTCTGGTAATTTCCATATATCTTAAATTTAGTAATCAAAATTCCTCCTATTTCAACATTTAATACTTCCTGTCTTTTTCTCCTAATATCTACTATCTCATATTTAAGCTAATAGTTCTTATTATTACTGCTAGGTAAAAATATTTATTACATTCATAGATTTTTAGCTTATATATATCTTAATTACTTTTACATTTAACCTTTATAAGCAAATCAATGTTGAAATTTAACTATTAATATTTATACTTCTAAGTTATAAATAACCAAAGTTTTCTTTATCTTAGCTCATAATATATCAAAGTACAAATCTATTTGGTATATTCTATTTTAATTTGCACAAGTAAGTCAAAACCCCAATTTTCTTCAGTTTTATTCTAGCTTGCTTTCTTTGCCAAATTGTCTTCCATGTCTATGCTTTAGAGTCATCAAACAAATCTTCCTGTATTGTTATATAGATTGTTTAACGTAGAAAAAAACCATCTGGTCACTATTTTTTTTGAGAGGACTAACAAATAGTCTCTTTATTTTTCCATTTTGACATAGTTGTCCTGAACTGTTTATCTTCTCTTCAATCTGTTCTTCTTGATCCTCAGGTTCTTTCTGATTTATGTAGAAAGTCTTTTCCTTTTTCCATATTGTCAGTCCCTTTTCTGAGTTTTCCACTGACTGTATTTGTTGATCAGTTGAATCTTCTGTCATAATCTTTAATTGTTCCACCTTTTCTATTATATTCTGTGTAGTTGATTTTTCAGATGTAATCAAAGTTTGAGTTTGTATATCTGGACTGACATCTTGTTCTTTTTTGTAACCTCTTATTTCATCAGTAGCTGTAAGAATAGTTTGATGATAGAATCTGTTCTTGATCTTCATATTTTCTTAGTAATGTATTAAGTTAAAAGCTTTACAATCAGAGAATGCAAAAAAAAGATTTTGTCACTGAATAAGGAACACAGCTGGGCTTCTCTCAAGGTTGCATAAGTCTTATCTCTTTGTCTGGGCTGCTGGCCAAGTCTCTTTTAGACAATAACAAATTGTAGTATCAGGTTTAGCCACAAGATATCACTCCTACCCTTACAAATTTTCTTTTGAATCCAAAGTTTTCATAATATTTTCAGTTTTGCTTCTTTCTTATAAGTAAAAACCCCAATCTTCAATAAGCATAGAAGATCTTTTAGTCCACAAACTTTAAAAAAAAATAGAATTCCAATTAGGATCAAGTTATTCTTTCAACATTTTAAACTCCCCTGAATAGTCAGTTGTGGCTAGCAACAGAGAAAAACATTTTGAGCTATTTTCTGTATGGTGAAACAGTTTTGAAACTTGTTGACCTTCTTGGATTACAAACATCGACTGAACTTTAACTCTTTCTGCGTTTTGGTTACTTTTGCCTGGGGAAGACTTATGGATTGATTGTAGGGTGGTTGGACATTTTGGATTAAAAACATCAGTTGATTGATAATTCTTGGATTCCTGGACAGAAGAACTGTTACAAAATACTCCTTTTGGTGGTGGACCTATATTTTGGAACTTATTGGACTATAAAGGCTATATACAAAGAATATAAGAACTTTATGAGATGATGTTAAATTTAAATAGTATACCTGGGAAATATAATAGAGGGTGGGAACAAAAATGAGTGCTTCATACCTAGATAAAGGTGGTAAAAAACCATTCCCAAAATCTGCCTATGAAGCCCCCAACTTGGCATATCAGAGAGAAAAAGCTAACAACTTTCAGAAGAAAATGCAATCTATATTGCGATCGATTCACATAAAGAAGATTCCAGAAGAAACCATGAAGAGACTAAAAATATTTATTTATTTTATTTATTTATGAGACTTATATACCGCTTTAAGTGCAAGCACTCTCTAAGCGGTGTACACCAGTAAGCAATGTATATATATATATATATATATATATATATATATATATATATATATATATATATTTACAGTGCCCCCAACAATCTGGGTCCTCATTTTACCTACCCCGGAAGGATGGAAGGCTGAGTCAACCTTGAGCCGGTGAGATTTGAACCGCTGACCTGCTGAACACAGTCAGCTAAAGTGGCCTGCAGTACTGCACTCTAACTGCTGTGCCACCTTGGCTCATAATAATCTGGATAAGATAAATGTACAAGTTTTTAACTTAAACTTACAGTTAGAAAATCTTCAGAAAATGACTATAGGACTTCCGGTTTTGTACGGTAGTGTCCAGTCACGGGCTTGCAGATTCTCCGCACCCCCGCAGCTAATTTTGTCCTGCCTGGGGACCCTAAATGGGTCTAAGTCGCGCCGGAGAGGCGACAAAGAAGGGTGACCCAGTGACTCTAGAACGACGATGGTCATTCTGTTTGACTTGGGGAAAGCCTTCTAAACCAATAGGAGAATGGCTGGCTGTATTTCAGCAACCAGCCCAAGCTACTTTCAACCAAAGTCCAAAAGCACTAACCAGCACAACTGTGAACAGCATGTTTGAAATTGAGTGAGGAATTTGATCTTCTCTTTTCTATTCTATATTTAATTTCCCGAAAAAGATCCCCAAGAAGCAAATTTCCTCCAAAAGGGAAGGAGAGGGATTTCTGTCCCACCCTTATACTAATGGAAGCGGCGAATTAATCTTTTATGGAGGATCAAAATATACGGAAGTGATATATATGAAAGCTAAGGCTCAAAATTAACTAAGGCTTGTGACCAACGTCAAAAATAACAAAAAAAAGTTTCTTTCAATATGTAAAAAACAAGAAAACAGTTAAGGGAATGATTTGTCCATTAGTGGGGGAAAGTGGCAAGAAGGTGACAAGCAACAGGGAGAAAGCAGAACTATTTAACTCATTTTTCATATCTGTCTTTACATGAAGGGAAAAAACAGTCCAACCTATCAAAAACAGTACCATAAAAAATAGATTAGAAACACAAGATAGGAAAGAAAATGGTAAGTGAGCACCGATCCAGCCTAGACAAGTTCAAATCACCAGGACCAGATGGATTACACCCAAGGTTCTGAAGGAACTGGAAGATGTGATCTCAGAACCACTGAACTATATTTTTCAAAGATCCTGCAGCACTGGGGAACTACCAGAGGACTGTAAAAGAGCTGATGTAGTTCCCATCTTCAAAAAAGGGAAAAAATAGATCCAGGAAATACAGACCTATCAGCCTAACCTCAATACTTGGGAAAAATCTGGAAAAGATAATCAAACAACAAATCAGCAAACACCTAGAGGCAAACAAAGTCATTACTAAAAGCCAACATGGGTTTGTCAAAAACAGATCATGCCAGACAAATTGTATTGCATTTTTTGATCAAGTGACAAAATTAGTGGGCCAGAGGAATGCTGTGGATATAATTTACTTGGACTTCAGTAAGACATTTGATAAAGTAGATCACAGCCTACTACTTGATAAGATAGAAAAATGTGGGGTAGACAGCATCACCACCAGATGAATTCATAGCTGGCTGACCGGCCGTACTCAGAGTGTAGTGCTCAATGGAACCGCATCTACATGGAAGGAAGTGTGTAGTGGCGTGTCCCAGGGCTCTGTTCTGGGCCCAGTGCTCTTCAACATCTTCATCAACGATTTGGACAAGGGGATAGATGGGGAACTCATCAAATTTGCAGATGACACCAAGCTGGCAGGAATAGCCAACACTCCAGAAGATAGGCTTAACATACAGGAAGATTTGAACAAATTGGAACACTGGGCGCTATCTAACAAAATGAAATTCAACGGTGAAAAAAAGTAAAATTCTACATTTAGGCAAGAAAAACCAAATGTACAAGTATAGTATAGGTGGTACCTTGCTCAATAGTAGAAATTGTGAGAGGGATCTCGGAGTCCTTGTGGACAATCACTTAGATATGAGCCAGCAGTGTGCTGCAGCTGCCAAAAAAGCCAACACAGTGCTAGGCTGCATTAACAGAGGGACAGAATCAAGATCACGTGAAGTATTAATACCACTTTACAATGCCTTGGTAAGGCCGTACTTGGAATACTGCATCCAGTTTTGGTTACCACGATGTAAAAAAGATGTTGAGACTCTAGAAAGAGTACAGAGAAGAGCAACAAAGATGTTTAGAGATCTGGAGGCTAAAACATATAAGGAACGGTTGCCTGAATTGGGTATGTCTAGTTTAATGAACAGAAGGACAAGGGGGGACATGATAGCAGTGTTCCAATATCTCAAGGGCTGCCACAAAGAAGAGGGAGTGAAACTATTCTCCAAAGCGCCTGAAGGCAGAACAAGAAGCAATGGATGGAAACTAATCAAGGAGAGAAGCAACCTAGAACTAAGGAGAAACTTCCTGACAGTTAGAACAATTAATCAGTGGAACAACCTGCCTCCAGAAGCGGTGAATGCTCCAACACTGGAAGTGTTTAAGAAGAGACTGGACAGCCATTTGTCCGAAATGGTATAGAGCACTGGTTCTCAACCTGTGGGTCGGGACTCCATTTGGGGTCAAATGACCATTTCATGAGGGTCACCAAACAATGCAGTCTGCCATTTTCCCCCCTTTTCCTTAGCTGTGCTACTCCCTTTTATTCTATTGGCTTTTGAATAGAGTCTAATTCTATTGGCTTTCAAAAGCTTTCAAAAGCCAATAGGAATTGTCCAGGCTGTCTTTGCCCTGCTGAGCCCGCCAAAAGTCCCATTCTGTAAACGGTGCTGCACCAGTTGAGTAGTCCTCGACTTACGACCGGTTGAGTAGTCCTCAACTTACGACCAGTTGGGGGTTGCGTCATTAAAAAGGTTGAGAACCACTGGTATAGAGTTTCCTGCCTGAGCAGGAGGTTAGACTAGATGACCTGAAAGGTCCCTTCCAACTTTATCATCATCATCATCATATAAAATCTGAAATTTAAAACTTAAATCTGGATAAATCTAATATTGTTGAATTGTTAAGATTTTCATTCTAAAGACAATTGTTCATTTTGGAAATTGGAAAATAAATAGATGCTGACATCTAGTGGTGGATGAAGACTATGACAACTATGACTTTCATATAAGACTTGGCAAAACCTATGAAAAGCTAATCTGTGTTTGTGACCCTCAAAGCTTTAACAACAATGAACAGCTGTGACAAAAAAGGACAATAATCTGGGCTGTAGACAAAGAGAGAATTATAAATTTCAAAAATAAATAAATAATCTTTTTTTGAACTATTTGCATTACAAATATCTATTTAACCGGGATTCTAAAGCTATTTGCAGAGAAAAGAAAAGAAGAGAAAAACTGAAATTCTTGGCCATCATAAATCAGAGACATGTAGAAAGAACATATCAAGAAAACATAAATACTCCACAGGAGGAGATATATAGTGTACTGCAACTAATTCAAACAATAATGATTTTAAACCACAAAGAAATTCAAAATAGCTTTGAAAATATAAATCAATCTATTTCCAAGTTAACTCTACAACAAAAAAATTCTCAGAAAACAACAACAGAGAAGGAGCAGATAAAACAGAGAATAGAGATTAAAGATGGAACTTAACAAAACAAGGAAACATGATTTAATCCTAGTGGAAAGAAAATTATAAGAATTGGAAAAAACGACTTATCCCTTAAGACTACAAAATAAATCTGAGGACAAGAAAATAGATTGGATAAAATGGACAGTAGAGATTGCAGGAACATTAGAGAGAAAGGAAATGATAAGAGAAGAAAAAGAAAAGGATTTTCAACAAACATGGAAAGACAAAAGCTCTGTACAAAGACACTTCATCTGATTTACTTTTTATATCTATAGTAACATTTCTGAACATATGAAAAGACCTTTTGACTCAGCAACACACATTGATCAAGATAGATAATGGGCAAAGGAAAAAGACTAAAGTGGAAATCAAAAAAATAGATGATGGGACCTACCAGAGAGAATACTTAAAAAAGAAACATTTGTTTGAATACAGTTAAAGAAATAGAAAAGACTATATATATCTTGGGTTATATATATCATTCTAAGAGGGATGAATCTCTTAAATAATATAGTATACTTTTTCCCTTCTTTATTCTATTTCTTGAGTAATATAAAAAAGTTGAAATGGCTTAGATAAAAGAAATATTTTAATGTGAAGAAAAGTAAGGTTTTACACCGAGGCAGGAAAAACTAAAGGTACAAGTACAGATTAGGTGAGACCTGGCTCAAAAATAGTAACTGTGAAAGGGACCTTGAAGTCCTAGTTGAGGATCACTTAAACATGAGCACATTTCCCTGCTGCTCCCTTTCCTTCCAGGATGCCAAGCCGAAAAGTTTCGGGAGCTCTGGACTAAACGACTTCCCTTCCAGCTCTATTCTGATTGATTGCTTCTTGATACATGGGAAGACCCAGTCACATTGAGAAGTCTGTCATGCTGGAAAAAGTGGAAGGAATAAAGCACCAGGCTAGAAACCAGGAAACCATGATTTCTAATCCTATCTTAAGCCCAACCCACCTTACAGGGTTGTTGTAAAGAAAATAGAAAATAGGAGGAAAGAATAGTAGGCATTTTCGCCCCATTAAGGTAGAATAATGTGGAATAATAATAATAATAATAATAATAATAATAATAATAATAATGAAAAATCATTAAAATGATGTATCTGCATAATTACTGGAATAAAGCTGTGTTGGCAATCTGTGACTAACCAAATGCGTATTGCACTTGGAAACAATGTATGTAGCATAACCGACCATTGTACGCCTGTGAGAAACTAACCTAATGTAATACAATGTGTATCACTAATGTGTGTTCCTTTGTTCCTGAGAAAAGGAATGTATAAAACTGAAGCCTAAACTCGCCCTCGGAGTTCATAACTGCTTGTCTTAACTGCTTCTGAACCTTGCGCAATAAATCTCTCTGCTAAACCTTCTGGAATTCGTAAAAGTCTCTTTAGTTTTCCACAAGACCATGAGTTATTTATAAAATAATAAAATATAATAAATATAAATATCCCTAGCCATTTCTGCCACCGATTTTTAATAAAAACAGAGGAAGTAACTTCCATCGCAACTACCTCTCAGAAAACAGCAGAGGAAAATCTACAGTACTTAGCTCTTTTTTTTTCTAATAGTCCCTATGAGTTCAAAGGCAGTGTTCAATCCCGCCAGCCGAGACTGAGATGAACTGGTCGCTGCTTCTCAGCAGCATTACGTTTTAAATGGCAAAAGACAGGTTTGCATCCCCAACCGTATCCCAAATGACGTTAAAGTTTAACCCGGAAGTCGATAGACTTCTTATGTCTATTTTTTGGGGGGGATCTCTGTTTTAGGCAGTAGCTTCCGCTTCCGATAGGAGTCTCCGCCCTGATCAGGATGAGTGGAGGAGGGAAGAAGCGCGACGGATCTGATGGTAACTAGAAAAACAAAGAGGAAAGAGATCTAGATTGTTGTGTGGATCCGTAGTCTTCTTCCACTTTTCCTGTACAAGGCAAAGTGTGCTTATCGTGAAATTCCCTTTATTTTAAAAAAAATCACTCTTATTTCCAGCATTTGAAAGTCCATCGTGAACGAACTCAACTATAGGATGTAGAATGTAGGATCTTCGCATTCCCTTTCTTTTTTTACAATGCCCCAATCGGACACCTTCCAAATGTGGTATTTTACACTTCTCACCATCGCCAGGAAAAGTGTGGAAGTGTTGCTGGTTTGGAGGATGGAGGGGGAACGTGCCAAATAGAGAAAGCTACAGTGGAACGTGTTTTTTCCCCCTTTTTGTGATGTGTATTTATTTTGTAATAAAACAGTGTTTACTCTTTTAAAAAAGAAATAAAAAAGCCATCTAAAAATGCAAACTAAGAAGAAAAAGAAAAAAATTACTATTTTTTTATACTTATCATTAGCCACTAGTCTATGAATGAATTCACTACTGTAATCTAAATAACACAAGATATAATTGTAAGATATTATCTACCATAATCTCTACCATAATAATTGATGGAATATTGACAAAGCTGCATGGTGTTTAGTAGCTTTGCAGTAAGCAATAACTCTAACCCTTACAATTTTTTTAATATATGGAGAATATCTGTTATTCATCCTCCAGATATTAAACTATTTATAAGAAAAGACACTATTTCCTTCTGGGATTTCCTCATATGCTAGTTTGTCATTATAATTTTCTTTTTCCCTTTTTGATTTGGAGAATGTGCTGCCATTCTGCTACGTTATCTTCAGGAGCAGAACCGGCCTCATAGTGCTCAGGATGTCTTTAGCAACTTACAGCAACAACATGGATTGGGCAAGACGGTAAGACAAGGTGTCAGACATGCACTGTGGGACTTGTATTATCTCCAGTGGTCAAAATTGTATTGCGCTTCACTTTCCAAATGTATGCTACGTATCTTTTAAATTCTGCAAATTAATTTAATATTTTAGCATAAACCTAATCTAGAAGAATAATGAATGTTCATAATGTTCATGATATGAGCCATCCTTGAAGAAACAGATTGGTTAAGAAATACCATTGTTTTTCTGCTTATGGTATCAGTTTTTATTTGTACTATGTTGTGCACCATGTTACACTTTAAGCTGATGCATTCACATATTGACACTAACTCCCAACTACCTCCATTACCTGAGTTGGCAGATTTCTTCTGAAAATGCCATGTGCATTTTCAACAATTGTGCTCAGTTCTCCTATAGTAAAGAATTTTCTGTCAAATTTTCATTCTCTTTTGATGTTGAAACAATTTGCAGTTTTTATTTCAGTCCTCTATTTTGTTGTGAATTCTTCTCATTCTGCATCTTCTTGTTTTCTGTTTGATTTAGGCTGTAGTGAAGGCACTAGAGCAGCTGGCTCAGCAAGGGAAGATCAACGAGAAGGTTTATGGGAAGCAAAAGATTTATTTTCCAGATCAGGTAAAATGCCATACTGTTTCTGTGAAACTTAAATTTAACTTTACTACCCCAGGGAAAAAAGCAAGATAACTAATTCAGACTGTTTCAGGACTGACAACATCCATGTACTTTTCTAAAATCAATAACCAATATCAACAACCAGAGCTGTCTAGATCCATCTTATATATCAGCTGTTACACATCTTTAACTTCTCTTTTCCAGAGTCTTTTAGTAACTTAAAAGACTCTGATGCCAGCCCAACACTTCTACAAGTTAGAATTAACTTCTGATCTCAGTTTGTCTTATTGGTTAGCTACATTAAGCATTTGTTTGGGCGTCTGTCTGGATATCTGAACACCAGCAGGAATAGCAAACAGGAAGATGTATAATAAGCTGGTACATAAGATGGATCTAGACCAGTGATCCCCAACCTTTGTGGCTTGGCAGCCTGGCTGGGGGGGAGAGGGAAATCAGGCCATGCAAGCAGCAGGCTAGCGCGCGCACACATGCACGTGCAGCTTGACTGCAAGTTAAGCTGCATGTGCATGCACATGTGCACCGCCCTGCTGCTTGTGCAGGTTGAATTGCACATGTGCGTGTGCACTGGCCCGCTGCTAGTGTGAATCAAGCTGCGGGTGCACCAGCCCATGGCCTGGTGGCAAATAGGCCATTGCCCGGGGGTTGGGGACCCCTGATCTAGACAGCTCTGGTTGTTAATGCATGGCTGAATGTATGCCGTAGTGTTCACCTGGGACATAGGTGTCAGAGCATGCAGTCTTATTGTGCTGAGATAACCCAGGACTACATACAGTAAACAGTGGTTTGTATTAAATGGTGGTTTATCATACACTATCTACAATGTACACCAGGAACAAAATGATAATACAGCAAACTCCAACACACAGCAATTACAGCAGGAAATGGACAAGAGAGAGAAAGAGAGAGACACTCCAGCAAAACCTTCCCTTTTATACTCAGGCTCTTAAAGGATACAGACACAGAAAGAGTCCCTGCTGAGTCATTCCTATCATTGCATCATCCACCTTATATTACATTACATCACATCATTATATAAACTGTTTAACTATTAAATTATTACCTTTCTGGCTTGGCAGCCTGGCTGGGGGGGAGGGGAACCAGGCCATGCAAGCAGCAGGCCAGCACGCGTGCACACAGGCACATGCAACTTGACTGCAAGTTGAGCTTCATGTGCATGCACGTGTGCACTGGCCCGCTGTTTGCGCAGGTTGAGTTGCACATGAGTGTGTGCACTGGCCCCCTGCTTGCATGAATCAAGCTGCAGGTGCACCGGTCCCTGATCTGGTTGCAAATAGGCCATCACCCAAGGGTTGGGGACCCCTGATCTAGACAGCTCTGGTTGTTAATGCATAGCTGAATGCATGCTGTGGTGTTCGCCTGGGACATAGGAAACCCACATTCACATCCCTTCTTATCCCCCAAATGACTTTGGGCCAGTCACTGTCTCTGCCAACCAATCTCATGGAGCTGTTCTTTGCAGGGGTAAATTGAGGGAATGCCATCATTCTTCATGCATTCTGAATTTCTGAAGAAAGGTGGGATAGAAATCTAACAAAAGAACTACATAAATGAAAAATATTGGTTACCAGGAAACTAAAGTGGGAAGTTATCACTCTCTAGTAAAGGCATGTGAGCTTCCCAGATGAATCCATTTAGCCAACATTTGACAGAATACTGAACTAGATGAGCAGATGGCCGAATTTTCTTATATAAATTAATTTGAAACTTAATATTACAGGACAAATAGTTTTATACTGTTGCATCAGTTTTTTTAAGCACCAGAGAAACAAGCTTGGAGATGCTGTTTTACACTTTTATTAAATAAGCAAATTGCTTCCCAGCTGAAAATTATTTATTTGCAAATTGATAATGATTGTTTTGGAAGAGAAGTGCTTTGGCTGAACATACCATAAGGATAGTACAAAGATATGCAATGAGAGTTTTGTTTTCACAAAAACATGTTGATTGCTTGGAATGTGGTTTATTCCATGACATCATAATAGAAAATATACATCCTGCTGGTCATCTTAGATTAATGCTCTGTTCTATACATGTTTTTCCAGAATCGTTTTGGTAATATGTGTGAATCAGAACTCAAGGGCTTGGACAATGAGATTTCAGAACTGTCTTGCAAAATTCAGACACTGCAACAGAACTGTCGTCACATGGAATCAGGTATGTTCAGGATGGTTAAATCAATGTGTTGAGTGTAAATACCTGTGCAATTGAATGCTTGAATGGCATGGAACCTTTGGGGACTGCATCTGAGCTGCAGCTTGAATGCCTGTCCCACTGACAAGCGCCTTCTCAGCTATTGTAACTAATAATTCCATTCCAGAACTGAAAGAACTGAAGGGCTCTAGGACAACCCCAGAGATGGCTAAAGAAATTGAAGAGTTAAAAAAAGACTGTGCCAATTATACGGAGAAACTGGAACGAATTAAATCTGCTGCCAATTATGTGACCCCTGAGGAGAAAGAAAAGGTAACAAAACTGCTAAGGTAACAAAGCTCCAGTGGCAAAGAATGGGATGCTCAGGCTGCCCATTCTGGTTGCCCTGCTATCCTCCTATACCAACTATATATAAGGGCTGTGGAGGTTCAAGAGTGTTTCAAAATTAAGTGAAGCATCAGAGAGCGAAGAGTCCCAAGACTCCAAAACACATTTGCTAATAATCAAATCTTTATTATAGTAATAGATCAGCATATGGAGAGTGAGGTACACTCAGTTAAAAATACAGATTAAAAAAATAGGAAAAGCTAAAAGATATAAAAAAGAAAGTATATATAAAAATCTAAAAGAAAGACAGAAGCATTAAGTAGGTGTAGGGCAGGGGTAGGCAACCTCGGCTCTCAGAATTCCTGAGTTGAAGTCCATGAGTCATAAAAGCCGAGGTTGCCTACCCCTAGTGTAGGGTAACATCAAGCTTAATATGTAGAAGACTATATCAAATTTCATAGTACTCTAATATGATGCTCATTAAGTTTAGTTTACGGCACAGGTAATTAGCCAATAAATTGTACAGAAACTTGGAACATTGTAAATATTTATTTGCTAATAATTCTGGGGAACTCCCATAACCTGGTGTACATCAAGAACAGTGAAAATCTAATTGTCTAATTAAAATCTAATTCTAATTGGCATTAAATGGGGATAAACATGAATTCTCTTTTAAGGCTCTTTTCTTGCTGGCAGTTTGTTAACACTCAGTTTTGGATGCTGCAACTTTGGTTCCTATATCAAAGCTGGCTGTAGTCTGAGCTGTTTCATTGGACATGAAAACAGAATTGCTTTGGTTTTATTGATTGTAGGTGTGCAATGAGAAAAAGCTGTATTGCAGAGAATGGCGTCGCCGCAAGAGAATGGTAAGAGACATAATTATTTATGGTTTAAAAATGATATAATTGTATTGAGTGTGTATCTAGGAAACCAACAAAATACATTCTAAATATCCTATATTTTCAAATGTAAAAGATTCAACTAATGACTTACCGTATACAGCTACAGACTCACTATGCATACAAAATTTAATCTCGTTATTGAATGCAGGGATTCCTGCCTATTATCTAGTAAACTAAATGGTGCATTCTTCTTCTCTTTGTGTTGAAAATTATTTTCCTATTCATGTCAGAAGCATCAAAATTAAATAAGACATACTATGACATAAAATTTAAAATATAAAGTACAAGATTAAAATATGTACAAGTTAGTTGAAAATAGAATATAACTTTCTTTGCTTGGATGTTTTCTAAGACATGAGCTATTCATTTCTAGATAATGGAAAGAATGATTGATATAGTCTCAATCACTCATTGTCCTCCTGAATGGATTATTGTAACACATTGTACATGGGGCTGCCCTTAAAAAATAACCAAAAGCTTCAGCTGGTGAAAAATGTAGCAATGTGGAACGTTATGTGTGCTCTAAGAACTCCACCTTCATTTTGTGTAAATTGTTAGACCTCAAAATTCTTGGAAACCAAACACTTGACCTTTTGGCTCAATTATAAAAAAAAATAGGAAATGGCATTATTGAAAAGGTAGCAAAGCAACAAATAATTGTGAAAAATACTTCAGTTATTTTTCTTAAATCAATTTTTTTGTTTTTTAACAAATTTCCAATTTTTCTTTTTAATAAGAATTTAATATGAAATTTTGTATCTCCTTAAGATAGAAGTGACTGTTTCTTTTTTTCACAACAACAACAACAATAATAATAATAATTTGATAGGGACCTTGGAGGTCATCTAGTCCAACCCCCTGCTCAGGCAGGAAACCCTATACCATTTCAGATAAATGGCTGTCCAGTCTCTTCTTAAAAACTTCCAGTGTTGGAGCATTCACTGCTTCTGGAGACAGGTTGTTCCACTGGTTAATTGTTCTAACTGTCAGGAAGTTTCTCCTTAGTTCTAGGTTGCTTCTCTCCTTGATTAGTTTCCATCTGTTGCTTCTTGTCCTGCCTTCAGGCGCCTTGGAAAATAGCTTGACTCCCTCATCTTTGTGGCAGCCCCTGAGATATTGGAACATTGCTATCATGTCCCCCCTTGTCCTTCTCTTCGTTAAACTAGACATACCCAATTCCAGCAATTGTTCCTTATATGTTTTAGCCTCCAGTCCCCTAATCATTTTTGTTGCTCTTCTTTGTACTCTTTCTAGAGTCTCAACATCTTTTTTACATCATAGTGACTAAAACTGGATGCAGTATTCCAAGTGTGACCTTACCAAGGCATTGTAAAGATATTAACACTTCATGTGATCTTGATTCTAATTCTCTGTTAATGCAGCCTAGCACTGTGTTGGCTTTTTTGGCAGCTGCAGCACACTGCTGGCTCATATTTAAGTGATTGTCCACTAGGACTCTGAGATCCCTCTCACAGTTACTATAATGGAGCAGGGTATCACCTATATCAGTGGTGGCGAACCCATGGCACACGTGCCAGAGGCGGCACTCAAAGCTCTCTCTGTGGGCGCGCGCGCCATGCCCCAGAGATAGCAACCGTCCCTCTTCAACCAGCCGCCCGCTAACTGGCCGAGGTCCCACATGGCCAGATGCATCCCAGCACCCATGTGCTTGCTGGCCTCTGTGTGCAGGGGCCGATGGTGTCAGGGAGCAGCCACCCCGGCCCCTGCCTCATGTTTCCCTGTGACAGTGGCACCCCTGCCCTGCCTTGCCTTGCCTCACCCCTCAGGACGAGCCTCCTGCCCATCTCCCCACCTGCCACAGACCCCCTGGATTTCCCCCAACCCCACCCAGCTCCCACAGATGTCCTTCCCCATGAGCAACATCGAGGCGATCACACCCACATTGGCCACACCCACTCAATCTGCCATGACCACCACAGCCACACCCATCCAGTGGGCTACACCCATCTGGCACCCGGCGATAAATAAGTGGGTTTTGGGTTGCAGTTTGGGCACTCGATCTCTAAAAGGCTCGCCATATATATTATACCTGTGCATTTGGTTTTTCTTTCCTAAATGCAGAACCTTACTTTTTTCACCACTGAATTTCATTTTGTTAGATAGCACTCAATATATAAATCTGTCCAGATCCTTCTGTATCTTAAGCCTATCTTCTGGAGTGTTGGCTATTCCTGCCAGCTTGGTGTCGTCTGCAGATTTGATGAGTTCCCCATCTATTCCCTCATCCAAATTGTTGATGAAGATGTTAAAGAGTACTGGGCCGAGAACAGAGTCCTGGGGCACCCCACTATACACTTCCCTCCATGTAGATGCGGTTCCATTGAGGACTACACGCTGAGTACAGCCGGTCAGCCTTACTGAAGTCCAAGTAAATTATATCCACAGCATTCCTCTAGTCCTCTGATTTTGTCACCTTGTCAAATAATGCAATAAGATTTGTCTGGCATGATCTGTTTTGTTTTTTGTTTTTTGATAATATTTTATTAGTTTTCTAACTTTACAATTAAGTATTTAAAAAACAACGTGATGGGTTAATCAATAATTCAATAACATACATAAATCTTTAGTACAAATCTCAAGTTACAACATCAGATATTTCCTCTCTTTTCCCCTTAATATCTACTATCTCATATTAGCTAATATAGTTGTTATTATTATTATTATTATCAACTAAGTAAAACCATCTTTGTTACATTTATCAATAATTTTTAGCTTATACATATCTTAATTGTGTTTGCATTCAATCCTTGTATATAATCAATGTCCTGTTATTGCTTTTTTCCCAAGCTTTAATTTCCCATCAATATTCAAATTAACATTTGGTGTTTATAATTTCTAAGCTTTAGATAACCAAAGTTTCCCTTATCTCAACTTCTTCCTTTTCCCTTTTCATAACAAAATCTAATATTCTAAATATACTTCTTATCTATTTGCATATAGTCTTATTCTGTTTTCTAAAAGTTACCTATTTTCCACTATATTAAACCAAAAGTCTATCAGTCTTGTTACACATCTTACCTATTCAATTATAAAGTTACTTTATTTTCTAAAAATTATCTATTTTCCACCATATTCAACCCTCTAATCAATAATATGAAATCCCTCTAATAAATCAAAACCCTAGCTTCCTTCAACCTTACTCTAACTTTCTTCCTTTGCCAACTAACCTTCCATGTCTGTACTTTTGAATCATCAAACAGTTCTCCCTATATTATTATATATATTTTTTTGAAATAAGTAAGACCATTTGATTACAATTTTTTGAAAGAACTAGCCCATTTGTATTTATTAGATCGCCTCCCTATTTCTTTAATTTCCTACAATTGTCCTGATAGGTTTATCTTCCATTCAATCTGTTCTTCTTCCTTCTCCTCTAATTTCTTCTGATTTATATAAAAAGTCTTTTCCATTTTCAGTGTTATCACTCCCTTTTCTGATTTTTCCGTTGGCTGGATGTGTTGGTCAGTTGAGCCCTCTGTCTTAGTGGTTAGTTGTTCTACTTCTTCTGTTATTTTCTGCATTGTTAGTTCTTTGGTTGTAATCAAAATCTGGGTTTGTATATCTAAGCTGGCATATTGTTCCTTTATGTTGCCTCTTATTTTGTCATAAGCTGAAAGAATGGTTTCGTATATTGATTTCAACATAGAAAGGATTTTTTTCTGATCTTCATCCATATTCTCTTGGTAATGTGTTAAGTTGAAGACTTTAAAATCAAACATTAAAAATAGTTTGTTTTTTATAACTGGGTATGGGACATCTATTTCACGTGTTGTAGTTAGTCTTTATAGTGGGAATTGTTTGCCAGGTAAGAATTTATAGTCCAAGATATTCCATCATCTCGTGTAATGACAGATGCTTCTCGTGTAAAGAAATAGGAAAGCAATTCCCCACATATAATTCTGAAAATCAGTAAAGGTTTTATATTCATAATTCAAACAGGCCAGATATTCTGCCCAGAAGTTCATTCTTTACAGCTGAGTTTTTCACAGGCGGTATCTGTCAAGGTCAAAGGTATCTGTTTTTTCTAGAGTCTGGGCTTCAAGCGAAGTCTCTTTTAGGCAATAACAAGTTGTAATACTATACTTTGCCACAAGATGTCACCGATGCTGTTTAAAGCTTTTTAAGTTCAAAGTTTTTATGATAGTTTTTCAAGTTTTATTTCTTTTTTTTTTAGATAAAAACAAATGTCTCCAGTAAGAATAAGAAAACTTTTAGTCCCCAAGATTCAAAAGCATATACATCCAATTAGATTAAAATTGTTCTTATAGTTGCTCTGATTCCCCTGGGTAATTAGCCGCTGCTTTTATTAAGTGGGTGGGGTAAAAGTTCCCTTCCCTCTCTCCTCACAGGGGGAAAAATACTTTGGGCAGCTTTTACAAGAAAAGATATTTAAAGTCTTAAAGAGAAGATCAGATCTCACCCAGTTTCATCCGTGTTGCTTTAAAGGTGCTTTGACTTCAGTTGTCAGCAGCTTAGTGACGAGCCATATTGCTATGGCCAGTCTTTCCCTCACCAGTTTGGAGGGCTGCCCCGGATCAAATGGAAGGGCTGCTGCCCTCCCATGATCAAGTGGGGGTCCCCTCTTTGCTCGTTGCCCCTACAGGGCGATTTTCAATCCTTTCCAGGGTCCCCCAGAGAGACAAATTTGGACGTGAAAGACGGAACTCGCGATGGCAAACAGGAAGTCGGCATGATCTGTTTTTGACAAACACATGTTGACTTTTGGTAATGACTTTGTTTGTCCTTAGGTGTCCGCTGATTCGTTGCTTATCTTTTCCAGAAACTTCCCAGGTATTGAGGTCAGGCTGATAGGTCTGTAGTTTCCTGGATCCATTTTTTCCCCATTTTAAAGATGGGAATTACATCAGCTCTTTTCCAGTCCTCTGGTAGTTCCCCAATGCTCCAGGATCTTTGAAAAATATAGTTCAGTGGTTCTGAAATCACATCTGCCAGTTCCTTTAGAACCTTGGCGTGTAATCCATCTGGTCCTGATGATTTGAACTTGCCTAGGGTGGACAGGTGCTCATTTACCATTTTCTTGCCTATTTTAATTTGTGTTTCTATTTTTTTTTACAGTAGGTTGGACTGTTTTTTCCCTTTGTAAAAACAGATGCAAAAAACGAGTTGAATAGAATGGAATGGAATAGAATAGAATAGAAGCTGGAAGGGACCTTGGAGGTCTTCTAGTCCAGCCCCCTGCTCAAGCAGGAGAACCTATAATACCATCTCAGACAAGTGCCTGTCTAGCCTCTTCTTAAAAATCTCCGTGATGGAGCGCCCACAATTTCTGGAGGCAAGCTGTTCCACTGGTTAATTGTCCTCACTGCCAGGAAGTTTCTCCTTAATTCCAGGTTGCTTCTCTCTTTGGTCAGTTTCCAACCATTGTTTCTTGTCTTGCCCTCTGGTGCTTTGGAGAATAGTTTGATGCCCTCTTCTTTGTGGCAGCCCCTCAAATACTGGAATACTACTATCATGTTGCCCCTATTTCTTCTTCTGTTTAAATTAGCCAAACCCAAGTCCTACAGCCGTTCTTCATATGTTTTAGTCTCCAGGCCTTTGATCACCTTAGTTCAGCGGTTCTCAACCTATGGGTCCCGACGCCATTTGGGGTCGATCGACCATTTCACGGGGGTCACCAAGCAAGGCTGTCCGCCATTTTTTTCCCCTTTTCCGCCGGGTGCCTTACCTTCCTTGGGCTGGGCCAGCTGGTGGCCCAGCCAGTGGTCAGCCTGCTCCGTCTCTGCCGCTTGCCAGCTACGCCTTGGCCGGCGCAGGGGGCGGCACCATGCATGCGCGACGCTCCCGGGCAGGGAAAGTCCTCGACTTACGACCGGTTTAGTCCTCGACTTACGACCGGTTGGGAGTCGTTGCATTAAAAAGTTTGAGAACCACTGCCTTAGTTGCCCTGCTTTCTTAGTTCTGCTTTCTCCCTGTTGCTTGTCACCTTCTCGCAACTTTCTCCCACTAATGGATCAATCATTTCCTTAACTTTTTCTTGTTTTTTACATGTTGAAAGAAGCTTTTTTTGTTATTTTTTACTTTTGTCGCAAACCTGAGTTCATTTTGAACCTTAGCTTTCCTCATTTCATCTTTACAGGCTTGGCCTATTTGCTGATATTCTGCCTTAGTTATGTGCCCCTCTTTCCACTTTTTAAACTTGTCCTTTTTGTCTTTCAATTTATCAAGTTTTTATTTCTTTTTGATATGTATTTAAGTAAAACGATAGTGTTATGACTTATAGATATGACTTATATAGATCTATAGCAGGGATGTCAAACTGCCGGCCCCCGGGCCGGATGTGTCATGGTGAAACCGCGCTCACCCTATTGCTGGCAATGGAAAAAAAGTCGTGATGCCGCAACATATCATGTGAAATTGCGAATTTGACACCTCTGATATATAGACTTATAGATTTTGAAAAGTGATTTTTGTCTTTATTATGATTTATGTTATTCTGAAAAATTGTTTTCAGGAGATTTAGGGAATAACTTTCCTATTGCTTACCAACCATGTTTTAACTACTGTAATTAGACAAATTCAGGTATTTTCTTCTATAATGACCAGATCTTCTTTGTTGTTATTTCTGCCTGCCAATCCTTTAGTAGAAAGGATGGCAACTAAACGTATGACATAACTTTCTCTACAGGCAACGGAATTACTTGATGCAATCCTTGAAGGTTACCCAAAAAGCAAGAAACAGTTCTTTGTGAGTATTACATGTAAACTGATATTGAGAATCACAAGCTTATAAGCAGGCATTTCTTGGTCAGTTTCAAGTGTGGATCAGTTCAACTACTGGGCCAGGTATTGTCTGCAGAATGCTCTTATTTTCATTTATTACACCTTAAAAGAATATGTGTTGTTTCTTGTTCAGGAGGAAGTTGGCATTGAGACAGATGAAGATTTCAATGTTACTGTACCCTCTGTGTGAACCAAGATCTCATCTGCGTAACTAAAATCTAAGCATTCAAGTTTCAGTTTCTCATATTCTATGTTGCTCTGATTTTTAAAATCTAAAAATATTTGCATACATTGGGGATAAGCACACCTCACATTACATTGTTTAGTTTTTTTCTAGTATTTCACCATAGGACTTCCTAATCAGTTTGTTTTATTCTTAAAGTAGTTAGAACAAAATTTTAGTAAGCACTTGAGAAAATCTGGGAAAGGGTTCAAAATAAATATTTGAATTTCTGATAGTATTGTTTTCTCTGTAATCGGCCTGCATATTGTATCAATAGCATATTATGCCATTATACCAACACTAATAGTGTTGATAATTAGAGTGAGCTAATTATGCCACCAAAGATTAGGAAAATTTTAATGTCAGTTGTTACTTAGCCATCATGCTTTGCTTTATGCTATGAAAGTCATCTTGAGAGATGCAAACAAATTTAATAAATTTTCTCCAAGCTAATTGGGCAATTGTGGGAGGGAGAACAACTGGGTTTACTTCTTTGTTATATAGAAGAAAAATTATATACCTTGGAAAATTGGCATTAAAAAGGTGGCAAGTGGCTATTGGATTAGGCATATTCCTGTATGGTTGCATGTGACTGGCAATCTCACTACAAGATCATGTTGCCAAAGTTTGGGAGGAAAATACAAATTTTCAGTAGCACAAGGACTTTATTTTTGCTAAATGTAATATTGATGCCTTAAGCCAGATGTATAATACACCCATTTAAACATTTAAAGCTGCTGACCCCTCCTCAAATAAGAACCAATATTGTGGGACATTCCCACCTGAAAATGTCAGCGGATCATTATATATGACTTAGAATCCAAAATAATATGAAAAGGATAGCCCCCCCCCCAAAATCTGGAAACTAGCATTTTATACAATTACCACAAAGTAACTAGAATAATTTCAACCTAAATACCCAGGTCCAGAATCTTCTAAAATATTTTAGATAAAATCAAGCAAAGCCAACAAAGTCATTCAGCCACATAGCAAATTTATTAGAACTGCATGTCATAATAAAAAAATAGCAAGGTCTTGTCTTAGTTAATGTCCTTTTCCACCAACCAGCAGTAGATCCAGAAATCAATGCCTATAAAAGACAGTGGACCCACCTTTACAGCAAAAAATAAACAAAAAAGGAGCTGCAGAAGGGAGTTGGCTTAATTTACTTCATTGTATTATTAGAAACCAAGGCTGCAAGAGACTAAAAGATATTTTCCCTTTTATTGCTACTACAACATAATTGATAAGCCTATTCAGATTTTTAATCCATAGAATTGAAGGCAAATAATGATTGCATATGTTAATTTTAAAAAGCTGGAGATTGGCTACACAACAGGAGGTTGTTGCTTGATGACTTACTAGGCTAGGGCCTATGTATTATACAAAAGAAGTCAATTTATTGCTTAACTTCCCTGGTTCTCTGCCCTTAACCCAAGATAAATGCTACATGAAGCCACCGTAATATATAAAACAGTTGTTTTATAATAATTAAACCTAACTTCTGCTCCTTGAACCAAACCTGGGATATAACATCTAGGCATTTAGAAAAAGTATTTACCAAACTGAGGTGAAGAGAAAGTCCGGTGTTTCTGCAAATTTAAGAAAAGAATTTGGCTCATTGTGAAACCCTGTATATTGTAAATATCTTTCTATTAGATCAGTTACATTAATGCATAGGAACGTGTGGAGCTAAGGCTTGAAAAAGAGATGGCAACAAGCAATCTCCAGGAATTGAGAACTGATTATTTTTCTGCTCATCTAAAGAGCTTGCAGTATAAATTCAGGGAATTCCAGAGGTAAATCCAATCTGTAGCCCTAAAAAAGCTTGAAATGGAATTACTGGAAGGAATAAAGCTTTTTGGCCATATCTTCTACTTATATTAGGCCCCTTCAAAGCTTTCTTTTTGATTAGTAGAGTTGGCTCTTCAGTCGTTGCAATACACCAATGACAATGTCTCGCAGGGTCTGTGGAAAAAGAGACTAAGTTGATAGCAAACTCTTTCTGGTATAATCTATCCTCTGAAAAACATAGTAGATATAAAGTTCTGCCTGAATTAAATCATCAATCACCTTTCTATTTCTGAAGTCTGAATAGGGCAATTTCTCAATACTTTAGCATAACAATGAAATTTATACCACCTGCATTGCAGCAAGTTCATGAAAAAAAATGCTGCTTTCATTCAAATCTTTTATTTTTCTTTTCCTAAGCCAGAAATGTCAAACACAAGGCCCGCGGGCTGGATCCAGGGCCCAGATTTGCCCCCCGCCGGGGCTGTCCCAGAATTGGCAAGAGACCGGCCTGCCCTGCCCTGCTCTGGCCCACCCCAACCCAGCTGGGCGCCCTGGTGGTGTGCAGCAGTAGCTGCAACTCATTTGCCTTAGCCCGCCCCACCCCTCCCAGCTCAACCCCATCACACCCAGCCATGCCCCACTTTGCTGGGCTTCTCTTTACGTGGCTCTGCTTTGCCAGGCCAGAAAGGGTGAGAAGAAAGAGAAAGCAGGAAGGGTTTCTGTGTGTCAGAGAGAGAGACAGAGAAAGTCAGGAGGGAAGAGGAGGAGGAAGAAGCCGAGATGTTACAAAAAAGGAGAGCTTCTCCCATTCTTCTCTCTTTTTTTTTAACTTCTTCCCACTCCGTTCAGGTGCAGCTGGAGGAAAAGGATGACAGGAGAAAACAGGAAGGGTGTGTTTGTGTGTTATGTGTGTGTATGATAGAGACAGAGAGAGAGAGAGAGCCAGGAGGTGGAAGCCGAGGTTTTACAAAAAAGAAGAGCTTCCACTTTTCTCCCCCTTCTCTTTTTTATTAATCTGTGTGTGTGTATGAGAGAGAGATTGAGATATTGAGCCAGCAGGGAAGCGAAAATGTGGAAACAGGGAGCGTTGCAGAGTAAGCAAACTTACAAAAAAGGGGATCTGTCTCATAAACATACACACATGTGCTCATGCACATACACAGGAAGGTGGTGTGCAGGCAGGCGAGAGAGCAAACTTGCAGATTAGCTTTGTGGTCTATTCTTGCCTCCTCCCATCCCTAAAATCCGGGCAATAATAAAACTCTTTGGATTGAATGGGAAGTTAGGAATTGGTGTGAGTTGAAATTAAAAGGCCGTCAATTCCCCCCCCCCCAATTATTTTGTCGGAGACAAAAATACTTCCCTTCATCTGCTCTTTTATAATTTAATCCAGCCTTATCCAAACTAATATATTTTGGGTGTTGTGAACCACAGTTCCCATCATCCTGTGGCTATGCTGGCTAGAAATGCAATGCCTTATTTTCTCTGCAGTATGCGCCTAGGAGGTAGTAGTTCTGTGGGGATTTAGATGTATTTAAACATTTGTTTCTTCTGCCTAATTTATTAAATCAACATCTAATTTGAAATTAAAAGTTTGTGAGAAATCCAGGGTGGTTTACAAGAAAACTCTCAAAGATAGCTATTGTAAAGCATCACTAGAACTGCTTAAGACAATATTAAAAGTGTATATTTTAAGAAAGAAAAATAGTAGTAGTAATTTACTTAGTGCTGTTTGACCATAAAATGTGGTGGTGTTCTACATATGCCTGGCTGAACAGTGTTTGGAGTTGCCTCTAAACGGGTGAGGGTTGCACTGTTCATATTTTCCTTGGGAGAAAGTTCTATAATGGGGGTGCTGTCTCTGAGAAGGCTCTGCTCATGGCCACTGTTCTATAAACCAAACCGGGGGACCATCTGGTCTAAATGGATGGTAAACATAGATGATTAGGGGGCTGGAGGCTAAAACATAATGACAAATGTTTGTGGGAATTGGGCATGTCTAGCTTAGTGAAAAGGATTAGGGGTGGTGACATGATAGCAGTGTTCCAACTCTTCCAACTCTTATTCTTTGAGAGAAGTGCTGCCAACCTCTCCCCCTCCCCTTGTCCCTTCCTGGGCACAGAGAGAAGGAAGGAAGGGAGGGAAACAGGAAGAAAGTAATGGAAGGAAAGAAGGAGATGGGAATGAAAAGGAGGGAGGCAGGGAAGAAGGGGAGGGAGGAAAGAAGGAAAGAAAGAAGGAAAGGAAGAAAGAAAGGAGAGGAGGGAGGGAGGGAGATCAGAATAAGAGGGAGGGTCTGAGGGAAGTCCTGCCTTAGCACTTGGCCACCCTCAGCCCTGTTGCCCTTTTGCCATCCCCTGCTGGTCTCCCATCCTATTGCTGAGGATGCTTTGGTTACAAAGCCAGGTTTCCTCGCATGGAGAGAGAGCGGGCCTCCCTCTGACCCACGCACTTCGTCCTGATGCACCCACCATGAGCAACCTGGCCAAGGAGAGTGAGCACAACAGCAGTAGCCTTGAGGAGGTAAGTGCAGTTGGGCGCCCCCTCAGGGAAGTAAGGCTAGGCTAGGCAGGGCTGTGGGGTTCTGGTGCCGTGGGAGCTCAAGGACTGGGCTGGGCGCTTGACCTCGTGTACAGCCTGAGGCTCAGTGAGGCTCCTCCAGTGGACCATGCCCTTGCACTCGCCCCGGTCCCACCCACTCCTCCCCACTCTCAGATGCGCCCCAGGCCCACATAGGTGCCCCTGACGTGAGTGACATCAAGCTGGCCATGCCCACCCAATAGGCCACGCCTGTGTCAGCCACACCCACCCGGCCCAGTAGGCCACGCCCATGCCAGCCACACCCACCCGGCCCCCCAATGGCAACCACAATGCTGATGCGGCCCTCAATGAGATTGAGTTTGACACCCCTGTCCTAAACAATGCCAAGAGTACTTTTCTGTGAAAAACATGATCATCTGTCACTGTTAGGCTGTTTATTCAGCACAAAAACCAGCCAGAGAAACTGACTATTATTATTTAAGGCAGGGCTTTTCAAACCATTGGCACTTGGCAGGTGGTACGCAGCCCTGCCCAGCCTAGCCAAGTGTAGCGGGGGAGGGAACGAGCAAAAGCACAACGCAGGACTTGCCGTGAGAAAGTCCTCAGGAGCTGCAGGGGTAAGTCGAGAACTACCTGTACTTTATCACTTTTTTCCTTTTTTGACTGGGGTCATCAAGTCTTTGCTTGTCAAAAGGTTGCAAAAGGGATCACATGACTCTGGGACAGTGTGACCATCATAAATATGAATCAGTTGCCAAGCATCCAAATATAAATCACATGACCTTGGGCATGCTGCAATGGTCGTAAGTGTGAAAAATGGTCATAAGTCATTTCAATGCAATTGCAACTTTGAACAGGGTTTTTCGGGGGGGGGGGGTTGGTCATCAAGTTTTTGACACCTTGCTAATCGACACCTCGAATATTGCCATATCCTAAAAGTGGTACAGTCAGTGAAAAGGTTGAAAAGCCCTGATTTAAGGGACAGCAATGGATATCCACATTATTTTTTATATGATTACCTCTGAATCCAGGAAATCTTCAACAAGCAAATCAAGAATATTTTTCCTACATGTGTTATTGGCCATATGTTCTATGTTCTGGAATTACCTGAGGCTTACAGTGCTCTTCTATCCAGCTGAAAACACAAGCTGAGAGCTCCTGAAAGCTTGTCACAGAAATTGAGGCATTAAAGGACTGGAACAAGGAGTCCATGATACCCTGGAAAACATTGAACTTCACTTGGTCAGAGATCTGATTCTTTCCTTCACTGGGATTGTCCTGATGAGCTTTAACAATGTCTTCATAGTTTCTGAAATGCATATATGTGATTAGTTAACTTAGCAGGAAACATGGAATAATTATATCTGGAATAATAAATTGATAATCATTTTGCAGAGTAAACATTTCTCAAGGACAGGATGGAAGAACTGGAACAATAAGTGATGACCACATTACAGAGTAAATGTTTCTCAAAGACAGAATGGAATGTACTGTTGAACTAAAAGTGTCTGTCTGTCTCCTCCTCCTCCCTGGAGGCATATATATTCAAGGTAACATATGTAACATTCTTTCCTATTTTTCCTGAAAACCACAGCTGTGACTGAGCTAAGAAAGTCACCCTGTGACTATCTATGGCTGAAGATAGTTAAAACATAGGTCTTCCTGCTCTTAGTCTAATATCACATCAATATACAAATGCACAAGACTTACACTTTCATGATTTTTAAGGCCAGCACATCTTTCCGGAGAGTGGATACCTCTTCCTCTTGCTTCTTTTTTTCTTTGTGCAAGAACTGAATATAATCAATGGCTGGGTAGCAGAGAAATCAACAATTTAGAAAGGAATCATTAAGTCTTTTCAAAGCCTAACAGCCAACACTTGGCTATTCAGATATTTCTAAGCTCTGTTACATTAAAGTTGCCATTCCATTCCCTAGAATGAAGACAGAGTTAAGTAGATTCATAAACACTAAGACTAATATGTTCTTGGAGAACCATGTTAATGTACGATGGCAAAAAACTAGTTATACTTTTTATAACTTTTTTTGTTAAAGACAAATTTTAATTAAAAAGCATAAGCCTTCATCAGCTATAGGTCACTATCAAATGCACAGAGTGGCTAAACTGACAAAAGATTTAAACTGGAATTAAACAACTGCTAGCTCAATATTAGTCTATTTGAAAATCAGACACATTTCCAAATCTGTCTCTTATCATCTGAGTAGCCCCTCCTTCCCCGTTCTATTTCTGCAACAATCTAGCCACTATATATCTCCCATAAATTTACATCTTTTAATAAAATATGTTAATCAGAAAAGTGATTATTCTGTTTTGTTCTATTTGTTAGAGTACAGTAATAAGATTCATATATTTACAGAATTTAATAGTAGTTATATAATGCATACTCTGAAATCTGTACAAATTTCTGGGAATCTTGGTCTTGGACATAGGCCAAGGAACACAGATAATCTTGGGAGCCCTACTCACTCTTCTGCAGCACAATCGCCTTGCTTAGCTTCTGGGAACCTATTGAGAAATCTTGCTGCTGGCATGTGGGTACAATTGCTTGCAAATCATCATAACCTTTCTGTTAAAAAAACAGAAAAGCATTACAACTCACATATCAAATCTACCCTATGTGACAAGAAAATTAAATACAAGCAGTAGAACCAGATCAGTAAATCTATCTTTCTTTACCTATTCTTCCAAAGTGGAAGCTGTGTAATAAGGAATTTGAGCATACCTATATGGTTTGTCATGTTCTCACCTTGATAGCATCCCTCCGCTTTTGCTCAGCTTGTGTATGAGCACGGCGACGGCGATCCTTGTATGATTCTTTGTAGGTATCTTGTTGGTAATCAGAGTCTTCATCATCTGTGGCATGAAAAGAATCTTTGTTGGCAAAGCAAGGAAGGGAAGTCATTGTGAGAGCTCCCAATAATTTCCTAATCAAAGTTTCAATTTATTGAAAGAAGACTATTTAAGAACCATTAACAGCATTGCTTAGCCTCAGATTTATTTTTCAAAGGAAAAGAGGAATGATTTGACCTTAGCTTTATAACATAAGAAAATAGTCCCTAAAAGCCACTTTCATTTCAGCATAGATATTTAAGAAAATAATTCCTTCAGTTTTCAGTTGCAAATGAAAAATTACTTATTTCCCTTAATGCAATATAATGTTTAAGTGAAATGTTAGGTGAAGAACCAAATTGTTTAATAAAAATAAAAAACTATTTGGGATACTTAACAGAAAGATTCAAACAGATTCATAAAGAATTCTATGTAACTGATGCTACATAAGGTAGGCGTCAGCAATATTGTATCCATTGTGGAAAGGAGCCCACAAATCAATGACAATTAATTAATAAAAGAAACATTGTTTAAAATGACTAAGATTTTTGGTGGAGCGTGTGGAAGACCAGAGAAGATAATCTGATAATAAATGAATAAACTGGTTTGCAACCTATCTAAAACAGAAAAAAAAAGAGAAACATAATAAAAGGAACCTATCATTTTCAGATATTAAATACACTTCACTGGCTATTAATCCTTTAAAAATAACAAAAGTAGAAAATAGGAAAGACCCCCTAGACCCCCTGTGAATAACTAATACAGTTGGAAGAGCTATTCCATTCTCTACCTGTATTCTCTTTTAGGATGCCAGGATAGGGATACCCAATAGATAATTTGAAAATAACTTTTATTTTTTTTTTTTTTTTTACTCCATTCTGTCTTTAAAAAATCTAGGTAGTGACAAGGGTGATGAGGAACAATAATAAATATGAATGTGTTTAGAAATAAAGGAATACACTAGGTAGACAAAACTATTCTATAATTCAGGAAGCAATAGGGAGAAATCAGTCAGAGGGTTTATGTGATTGTGGATGAATTGCTGAACTGTTCAGTATCTGCACAATTATTACAATAGCTATAAATTAGGTCAGCGTGTATCAATAAGAAATTCATGAGATACATCTGTTGAAAATAATTGTGGATGGTGTGGACTTAGTTTTTGCCTACCCAAACTTTACAGCGGCAGGAAATGTTTAGAATTATAGAATGTTGGTATAATAGTTAAGAACTGTGATTTCTAAATCTACAGCTAGCAATTTTCACAAAGCAAGGTATATTGGCTTAGGTTTGTCTTGCACGCACACAAAAATAGATTTGGCATTGTCACCTGATTGGAAGATATTCCCTCCTTACAAGAACCATTGGTAATAAAATAGGAAATTAGATCAACACTCCAGTCATTACCAAGTCATAAGGCTATAGGAATTGATGGGATATCTAAAAAAATATGGTAAGCAACAGAAGAATCGGTCAAGGTTCTAAACAAGTTATACTAGCAAATCCAGAGATCGATGCATAGATTGGAAGAAGTGTACCTAAATACTAATACCAAAGAAAGAATGCTTTATAGAATGCAAATCATTCTATTATCCTCAATTTCACATGGTAGTAAAATAATATTTAGAATCATCCAATGCAGATTACAGCATTACATGGAAAGAGAAATGCTAGATGTTCCAAGTAACTTCAGAAAAGCCAAGGAAGAAAAACATTATTGTTGGTGTACACTAAATAACAGAGAAAGCCAAAGAATAACTAATAAAAGTTTGCACATGCTTCACTGATAATAAAAAGACTTTGATCATTTCAAGCTGTAAAATGTGCTTAGAAAAAAAAATCCAAACCCATCTCACTATCTTATGTGGAACTTATACACAAGTCAGGAAAACACATTACAGACAGAACATGACAAAACAAACTGGCCAGCACAAGCCTCCTCTGCCACCTCCCTCCGCCAGCCCTCCGTTACTGCCACTGTGGAGAATAGGGAAGGGAACGGCTCTGCGCAGTGATGCAGAGCAAAGCACATGCTTGCTGCCCTGCATCGCCCCGCATCTCCCTTCTCCGTTCTGGAAATGGCAGCTCCATTTCCTGCCGCTTCTCCCAGCGCTGCTATAGAGCTTGGCACACCACTGCCCAGCTCCTCCCTCTTCCCGAGAAGTTGGAAGGTCTGACTGAACTTTTTTTAGTCTCACAAACTCCGTTTCCCTGCAGCAGGAGAAAAACATGCCGGAGCTAGAAAGCAGGTTAGTGTTCCCCTCCCCATTCTCCATTCTCTCCAGTAGCAGCAATGGAAGGAGGCGGCAGGGGAGTCTTGCACTGCCCGGTCATGGCGCAAGCCACGGGAGAGTTGGTGGAGGAGGCAGCTGCTGCCGGGCAGATGATCTGTGGAGCGAAGCGCAAAGAAAGCCCCTCCAGCAGCACACAGCAGCAGCAGAGCTTCCCACCTGGCTCCAAAATGGCAGAGGGCGACCAGGCCTACCCCCCCCCCATTCTCCATACAGTAGCATGGCAGTCCAGCTCGGGAGGGGAATGAAAAGGAGCAAGGAATGGCCTGGCTGGGGGGGGGAGCTTAAAGGAAGCGGGTGCGGGGCACGTGGGACAGCTCCACCCCCTTCCCCACCTGCCTTGCCTCGTGGCGGTAGCAGCGCAATGTGCTGCGCAGCCTCCTGCCACAAGCAGCCGCAGAAGTGGCCTGCAGCCATGCAGGCTCCTGCTGGATGGGGCTGTTGGTGCTGTTGGTGCCGTCACCACAAGGTGAGATAGGTGTCACCGAAAATATAAGACATTAATGCCTCTTTTGGAGGCAAAAATAATATAAGACCAAGGCTTACTTTCAGGGAAACACGGTAAGACAGAAGTACATTTCATTACATATTTAGAGTGAGTTTTACTGAGAGGAAAGGAAGCAATTCATTACCTGTATTTGGTACTGAAGAGGCACTGGTAGAACCAATACTATTAGCTCTTGATACAATCATCACTTTTTTTCTGTTTTCCACAAATAGTGCTAGAAGATAAGCAAAAGTATTCATAATTCAAACTAAATTAATTTAATTTAGTAATTTAGTAATTTGCAGTTCAATAAATTATATCTTTTAAAAATGGATACTAATGCTTATATTTAAAGCAAGGTTTTTAATAGGTATTGATTGCAATTATGCAATACAGAAGAGTAATTTGTTTAGTCAGCAAGTACTCAATATCAGTGAATGGCATTATCATTTGCAAAATTAGCTCATTTCTCCTTTCTTCCTCCCCCCCCCCTTTGCCCCAATTGGTTCTCTGTCATTTTGATTTAAAGGCAAGGACACTATTCCTTCCCTATTCATTCACTGTTTTATTAGGAATTCATTCAAAGCACAATATGAATTTAGCAAAAACTATGCACTTCTTGAATATTGCTCATGTGAAAGAACTTTGGGGAAATAAGAAATGGCAGCAACCACAAATAATGCTTAACTACTAAACTAAAATTTGTGAATTCCCTAGTATGAATTCTTCATAGAAGAACTGCACCAGGGAAAGAAAATGATAAAGGGATAAAAAAACTTACCAGAATCCAACCCGTTGTCATTATAAGAAATATCAACCTGTTGAATTATGTTACAAAGGGAAAATATAAAAGATCATTTTTCCATTGTTCAACTTTGATAACTCAGGCTGTGTGTTGTATTAAATACTTTCCCCTAAGCATCTCTTAAAGCTCCATGGGGTCTACATGAAGAGCTATGTTCAATGGATGTACCATTATCTCACACTGAATATGTAAAATAAGTAAATGCTGCCTATAAACACATAGAAATAGTCCAATTTGTATCATCAGTTTTTGGGCTGTTTCTGAGCAACAAACTAAGGCATGTTTTTACAATACTAAGCCAACGTTTTCTATATTTTCCTCCAGAAAAAAATATCACTGTGGAAAAAGTTAAATTATAATGCAAGGATATAGTCCCCTAAAATGCTTCAGTCTTACCCTTGCACAATTTGTTGCAATAGAGAAACAAGACAGGAAGCAATGACATGTTGCAACATTAAAAGTTATAAAGTTCCAACTCTGGATATGAGGGAAACAATACTTTGCCTCAAAAAAAATATAATAATATAAATTACACAGTTGGTCATTTTTCTGTTCTATCCAGCATGCTAGTGATAGTAAAACTTAATAAAGTGCAGTTAATAAAGTCTCAAATAAAAAGTTCATTTTTAGAGATAGAAAAAGCTACTGCTATCGAAGGAGCAACAATCTTATTCATTCTAGGAGTAACTTCTTTAGAATCTTAAAGTGTCCAGTTATTAGTTTTATTATGCTATCTATGCAACAAATCAAATTTAACGAATCTGGGCATAAAATATTCCTGAGAAATCAGTAGCTATGTTTACACAACATATTACCCCATGGCTTATTAAACATTGTGTACCCAATTAATCCAGTTGAGAGTTTGCACAACAGCGCGCAATGACACCGGCTACATTTGCTCATTGAACCAAACTAATTTATCAGCTATTTTCAGCCTAGCCTAGCATATTGCACGAATCCAGCCTAAATATCACTCCCATCCCAGTTACAGGCAACAAAAAGGTAGAATAGTCAAAACAGACTACTTTCTACGGTTATTCAACACGGCAAGAAAAAGCAATCTTCCTACGTTCACAGAGGTTCGCTACACTACTACTTTATAATACTGGATCCCAGCAAACAACTAAAATCTCTCCTAAAAATACTGTCTGCTCTGACAGCTGATTCTGTCCCTCGCTTTTTCTACTCATATCGCTCACTTTTCCTCCCCAAGGAGATTCCGAAGAAACACTCGACGGCTCCGCCATCTTTTCCCCTACCTTTGGCACATGCTCACGTATCATCTCCAGAACGGCCAATCAAGCTCGGGGAGCATACTTCCGGGAAGAAGGAACTTGGATTGGAAGGAATGCTGGGAGAAGTAGTTTCTTTGGTCTCTAATTAACTCTCTATGGTCTTCTGCGTCCCGAATGTAATAAATCGTGCTACTGTGACTGCGGATTCGCATCTCCATTTAAGTCCGGGATTTCGTCAAAACTTCATCTTGGCAGCCTAAGAGAGGGAATATAACTGGAAAGCCTCCTCAGAGGTTTCTTCTAAATGATCTTTGGAGGGCGCCGCTGAAATAGAACCCGCCTGGTTGTCTAGCCTTCATTATGAACCGCGTGCAGGAAAGGAACCCGGAAGTGTTTATTGCTGAAGATCGACCAGACGGGAAGGATATTTAGAGGCGTCATGGCGGATCCTACGGAGGAGCTCGCCAAGCTCGAGTATCTGTCGCTCGTTTCCAAGGTTTGCACTGAGCTCGACAATCATCTGGGTATCAACGACAAGGATCTAGGTGGGTCCCTTGGACTAGACAGGAATGGAGGGAAGCAAAGAGTCTACCGGTAGTGTGGCATCGTTGCTCCTGGGTTCTGTGAGGCATCCGAGGGACGGTCTCCTTAGTCTTTCTTCGCCGCCTTATTTCTTTCCCGGCCTTTTGCTTCTTCGCACAGTGAATTCTTATGGTAAAGCTGCTCCTCCAGCAGAGCTTTGTTGTTCGTTTAATTATAATCTAGTAAGATAGCTGTGCCTTTTTCATTTACTGGAGAAATGAATCGCAAAAATAAGGTTAGTTCTGAAGAAGACGGAGGAAACCTATAAAGCAGCCTCACATAGCGTCAAATTACAACTGCATTTTGAGCATCTGGTAACCATAGCATGTCAGGTAAACTGCCTTATAATCAGTAATTACCTGGATGCCTTGCCACATAGGTCTCAGGTCCATAGAATCTTGAAAGAAATTCTGCAGTTTTTGATTATAGGGCCACCTCAGATCACCTCTTGCTATTCTAAGTGCTGCCACATTACCTGATTTGAAAGCGGTGTTTCTCACCTTCACTTTGCTTGCATGATAATAGATTTAAGAACACTGACATCCTCCATATACTCTTGGATATAAGCAGAGACAATAGACCCTACTGTGTACACCCTATTTATATGGTCTGGCTTACAGAAATTGTGATGCTCTGTTTCTGTTAATCAATGGCAGAGGTGGAAGCAGTTGTTAGCTATCCCAATTTAAGTATTTACGCTATCCCAATTTAAGTTGTAAAGCGTACTGTTAAAATACTGAAGTCATTAATTTCATTCAAGATGGTGGTGAATCTGCATACAGACAGGAAGTTGAACAACTGTCCTTTGATGCAATGGAACAATCTGGAGCTGAACACACTTAAAAGTGTAGAGATTAGAGATTTTAGGAGAAACTGTCCTATTCTACCACCTCTTACAATATTAGACAATACAGTATCAACAGTAGAGACTTTCAAGTTTCTGGGTTCTATAATCTTCTATAATAAGGACTTAAGATTGATACCTTACATTAGAATAATTAAAAAGGCACAACAAAGATTGTTATTCCTGCATCAACTCAGAAAGCTCAGGCTGCCCAAGCACTTGTTGGTTCAGTCCTACAGAGGAATTACTGAGTCTGTCATTTGTACTACTATAATTGGTTTGGCACAGCAACTAAGCAGGATAGGCACAAACTTCAGTCGTTAGTTAGGACTGCAGAAAAAACAATCGCAACCAGCTTGCCCTCCACTGATGACCTGTATACAGCACAAGCCAGAAAGAGGGCTAAGGAAATATCTATAGACTTCTCACATCCTGAAAATAAACAGTTTACATTTCTCCCCTAAAAATGCCATTATAGGACATTGCTTGCCAAAACAACTGGGCACAAAGACAGCTTTTTTCCCATGCGAAACACCTAATTCCCATAGCACTGCCTTATCTAAGGATATTTACCCATATAGCAGGACTGTATTGCTATTATCCTTCTCATCTTTCTTCTATTGGTATCTTATGACATCACTTTGTTGTTTTATCTTATGATTTATGATTATATCTTATGATTTATGATTTATCACTTTGTATGTCTACTGAGAGCTTATGCAAAAGAGACAAATTCCTTTTGTGTCCAATCACGCTTGACTAATCAAAATATTTATTCTACTAAGTTTTTGATCCCAAGGAAGTGAACAAGATCCCCAAATCTATAAGGGTGGCCACTTATATTTTATATCCATGTAATGGTAATTTGTTCTTGAGAGAGTGAGTAGTGCCATCAACAATTGAGGGGATAGTTCATCCTGCTTCAGAAACTGTAAGTGGACCAAATACTGTTGGAGAATTCTTGCCTTTCCATTCTTTGTGAAGGTTGTAGGAAAAGTGGTCAGGCAGTGGCTTCAGAGAACCCTGGAAGAAACTGATTATTTAATTCCCTTTCATCAGGGTGAAGACCTGGGCATAGTGAGATATTGATTGTACCTTGGAGGTCTTCTGGTCCAATCCCCTACTCAAGCAGAAATAGAATAGAGAATAGAGTAGAGTACAGTAGAATAGAGCTGGAAGGGACCTTGGAAGTCCAGCCCCCTGCTCAAGCAGGAGAACCTATACCATTTCAGACAATTGACTGTCTAGTCTCTTCTTAAAAACCTGTGATGGAACACCCATAGCTTTTCCCCTGGTTGACTGATCTCACTGTTAGGAAATTTCTCCTTACTGCTAAATTGGAACTCTTCTTAATTAGTTTCCAACCATTGCTTCTTGTCTTACCTTCAGGTGCATTGGAGAATACGTTGACTCCCCTCTTCCTTGCAGCAGCCCCTCAAATATTGGAACACTACAATCATATCACCCTAGTCCCATGATGGCAAACTTATGGCACACGTGCCACACACACCATCGCCCCAGAGGGAGACAGGGCTGGGCTGCTCTCCTCCCCCTCTCCACGTGTGCCAGGGCTTTTTCTTTCTTTGCACTGGGAGCTAGGGAGCAGCTGCAAGAACTGGGCGGGAGAGGTGAGAAGCCAGAAGCGGCACAGAGAAAGAGATGAGAGATGTCGAGACGAGCTCAAGGGCCAGGGAGGGAATGGGGAAAAAGATTGCTCTTGCCACGATCTCCCTTCTGCTGGCCACTGGGAAGCCTAGTGGCATGCCTTGGCACAGCTACACCGGGAAACTCCAGCGCTCTGGACTTGCAAGTGAGTTTCAGCGCTCCCCAAGTGGCAGCAGGGCGATCAGTGCGGGGGGTGGGGAACGGCAGTGGCAGCAGGGCGATCCATGTGGGGGATGGGGGAGGCGGCATGGTGATCATGTGGCGGGTGGGGGGAAACAGCAGCAGCAGGGCGATTTGTATTGCAGGTGGGGGGAAACGGCAATGGCGGCAGGGCAATCTATACGGTGGGGGGGAAATGGTGACAGCTGCACAGCGATCCATGTGGCAGGTGGGGAGGAAACATACCCCACTTGTTCCATGGCTGCATTGGGCACAATATGTGAGGTGGCAAATGGCCAGTTTCAGCTGGAGGCAAACAGTTGTGCCACGTCATAGAGGCAAACAGCTGTGCCACGCCGAAACTGGCCAGAGGCAAACAGCCGTGCCATGCTGAAACTGGCCGTTTGCTGCCTTGCACGTCGCAGCTGTGTGATGGGAGATGAGAATACAGCAGTCATGCAGAGCCGCAGAGTGGAACTGTTGGCGGCCAGCAATGTGTGGCAGCTGGAGAGAAAGGGTGAGAAGGAGGAGAAAGCATGAAGGGTGTGTGTTTGTGTGTGTGTGTATGGAGAGAGAGACAGAGAGCGCCAGGAGGGGAAGAGGAGGAGGAGGAAGCCAAGGTGTTACAAAAAAGGGGAGCTTCCCCCTTTCTTCCTCCCTTCTCTTTTTTTTAACCTCTTCCCACTCTGTTCAGGTGCAGCTGGAGGAAAAGGGCGAGAAGGGAAAGAAAGCAGGAAGAGTTTTTATGTGTGAGAGAGAGAGAGAGAAAGAGAGATTGAGCCAGCAGGGAAGCAAAAGTGTGGGGAAAGGAAAGCGTTGCAGAGTAAGCAAACTTACAAAAAGGGGATCTCTCTCTGTCTCACATACACACACACACACACACACACACACACACACACGTGCTGCGTCGGGGAGGTAGTGTGCAGGCAAGCAAAAGCAAACTCACAGATAGGCTTTGCGGTCTATTCTTGCCACTTCCCCTCCCTAAAATCCAGCCAATAATAAAACTCATTGGATTGAATAGAAAGATAAGAGGAATTGGCATGAGTTGAAATTAAAAGGCCGAGTCAACTCTCCCCCCAATTATTTTGTCAGAGATGTGGAAAGTGTTTCTTGCTTCTACTTCCTCTCATCTGCTTTTTTATAATTTAATCCAGCCTTACCAAACTTATATCTTTTGGGTGTCATGGACCATAGTTCCCATCATCCTGTGGCTATGCTGGCTAGAAATGCAATACCTTATTTTTTCTGCAGTATGCAGTAGGAGACAGTAGGTCTGTGGGATTTAGATGTATTTAAACATTTGTTTCTTCTGATTTATTAAATCAACATCTAATTCAAAATATTTCTGAGAAATCCAGGATGGTTTACAAAAAAACTCTCAAAGCTATTGTAAAGCATCACCAGCACTGCTTAAAACAATATTAAAAGTGTGTATTTTAAGAAAGAAAAATAGTAGTAGTAATTTACTTACTACTGTTTGACCATAAAATGTGGTGGTGTTCTACATATGCCTGGCTGAACAGTGTTTGGAGTTGCCTCTAAACGGGTGAGGGTTGCACTGTTCATATTTTCCTTGGGAGAAAGTTCTATAATGGGGGTTCTGCCTCTGAGAAGGCTCTGCTCATGGCCACTGTTCTATAAACCAAACCAGGGGGATCATCCGGTCTAAATGGATGGTAAACATAAATGATTAGGGGGTTGGAGCCTAAAACATATATGACAAATGTTTGTGGGAATTGGGTTGTCTAGCTTAGTGAAAAGGACTAGGGGTGGTGACATGATAGCAGTATTCCAATATTTGATGGCTGCCACAGAAAAGAAGGGGTCAACCTATTTTTCAAAGCATCAGAAGGCAAATAATAGATGGAAACTAATCAAGAAGAAAACCAGCCTAGAACTAAGGACTTGT